AGCCCCAGGGGAAATAAATTCTGATCTGGAGGCAAACATAGTTAGGAGTGTGCAGTCAGCCTAGAGGCGTGCTTTGGAAAAAGTGTGAGGAAAAGTTCTTAAATGATTGCTTGGGTACTGGATATTGTGTGCACTGAATGTGATGGGGATCTTAATGGGAAGGGCGATGTGCAAGTATATAAAGTAACTTCTGCTACAGGTGGTAGGACTGAGACTACGAAGAAAACTTTGGCCCATCTTCACTATGAGCATTTAGCTTTTCATTGAAACATTTGGTGGAGGTTGGAGACAGGTTATCCAGGGGCCTGTTTTATTTCCTCCACTAAAAAAGGGAAACTCCACTCCCCACAAACCTCATAGAAACTACTTCATGTAACTATGGAAGGGCTGGTGACAGTTCTACCTGTGCTTAGAAAGTGTTTGTCTTGACATTAAGGGAACTTTAAAATAGCCACTTCATAATTCCTGGCACCACTGGGGAGCAGACCTAGCAATTTTAAAGGGGGAAGAATAAGAGGGAAAGTTTTGCCAGAAGACAGCAGATAAGCACTGTCTGGTGGCAAACTGCTGTCTCAGGATTTCTTACCTAGCTTTGTGTGTCTTCAGAACAGGAAAGTCATAAGGGTGACAGGGATTTGAAAAACTAAATTAGTCTGTTTTGCAATAAACACTGTTGATTTTTTTTTTCTTTCCTTCAAAAAGTAGATTTACCATCTCTCCACCAGCCCAAGAAGGGAATATTAAGAGCAAATTGAGTGGATGGGATGAAGTGACCAACTGATGTGATGGCAAGTGGGAGAGGTAACTGAGATGTAGCTGTGTGGAAGGGGTGAGTGAAGATGAGACAACGGCAAGAAGACTGTCATGCTTCTGCTGCTGCCTCTTTTCCCCTACTGACTCCATTGCTCCATGCAGCCTTTCAGTCCTGTGTTAGTCTGGCATTTAATGGCAGCTGGTAATTTTTTTGAGAGGAAGTTCATGATGAGTTGTACTTACATCTCTATTCAATTATCAGTCACAAATACCAGCCAAAATTACCAGTGCTCAACCTGTAAGATAATACTGGTGATGCTCTGTTGGGCTGCTATACTACGAGTGAGTCAGGGCTGATGCAAACAAACAGAACAGGCTGATGAGAAACGAGGTTGAATTTGACATTCTTTGTCTGTAAAAGGATGATGGTACAGTTCCCTACCTCTTAGGCAGCCAGAGATAAATCTTCCTCCATCATTGCATGCAATGAGTGAAAACAGGAGAAGAATGTAGTCTTCTACTCTTTCCATCACTTATTTTTTTTCTTTCTGTACTTTTTCTATCCAGGATCCCTTTGTCCAACTTTATTTATTTCTGTACTCTCTTGCATTTATCACTTAAAAAAAAAAAAAAATAAAAAAAAAAAAGGGGGGGGGGGGGAACAGATAATTTTACTGTCTCTGTCGTTAGTTTTTGTTGGATAACCTCACACAGTCATGATGATGATGATGATGATGACCGCTCCCAGAGCTGGAGTCTGGAGCAGCGCGGTCTGTCCCCGCCGGAGGGCAGCAGCTCCCGCCGCTTCCCATCTCATGCTCCTCTCCTCTTCATACCCAGCGCATCACGTCTCGCACTGCAAACGGAAAATAACGAGAAAAACAGAAGGGAAAAGGGAAAAAGAAACAGAAAAGCTTCGGGAGCACCAGTGCCAGTGAAGCGAGCTTTTCTGCCAGATTCTATGATTAATTGTGAGTTAGTTCTACTAACAACCACCGAATCATAGAATATCCTGAGTTTGAAGGGAGTTATAAAGATCGTCAAAATCCAACTCCTGGTCCTGCTCAGGACAGCCCCAAGAATCACACCCACACACACAAATATTATAAGAATTTTGATCACTATTCTAATTTGATTAGGCCCACCTTGTTATTAATTCTCTCTTCCCTCTACTTGCATACCTGAGTCTACAAACTGTCAATGTATATGTAAGATCAGCCTGGTATGAGAAATTATAATTTTTTCACCCATAATTTCCCACCATGGATCCTTCTCCAACCTCTGAACAAATGCTTTGTTTTGTTCTTTTCTTGCTAACCAGGTTGAAAAACAAGGGTGAAAAAGTAATTTTTTTTCTGTAATTTAGAAGCCAATCCTTTGAGAATTTTTCTATAAATCTATTTCCTCAACTTGATTTAATATCATGGAAGCAAGAAGAAAAAGAAGTCCTTGTATTGCCATAAGTATCTTACCTCTTTGAAGGCATTACTTGAGTGCATGTAGCTATCTTCACGTTTTCATTTGTTTCTAATACACCTTTCATTTTAGCTGCAAATCTCTTTTCTGTTAAACAAGGAATAATGCAAACCCCATCTCTTTGATCCTACTCTCTAATTCACAGCTTTAGAGCTGATACGTTGTTTTAGTCTGCTCAAATATTTGCTTCTTTGGAGATGGTGACTGCTTATATCTATTCATTAGTTCTCTTCACAAAGGAATTGTACTAAAACTGATCCCTTAGGATGCACAAACTTCTGGTCTGTGCAGAAGAGTCAGGCAGAATGACAACATTACTCACCATTGTGGCTAAACAGTGCCTTATTGCTCAATTTTCTTACCCTAATGGTTATGAATACAGGAGATCACATCGACTTTCTTTAAACACTCAGAACAAGGTTCTTCTGACTTAATGAAGACATCAGCATCTGCCATGAGGAGGCCTCCATGTTTTGAGGTAACTATCTGGTACCCAACTGTAGCCCATGGAGAGAAACAGGCACTTCTGTGTCAGTTTGACTTTTACTTATGTAAATTATTCATAGCTGAGGTGAATCATACTGAAAATTACCTTTTTTTTCCCCTGTGATTAAAAGACACTCAAATTAACACCTCACACAATGTAACTATCCAAATTTAGAATAAGCAGATAATGGCATTTAAAACAGGATATAAAAACATATAAAAACAGGATAGTCTTCGTGGCATGATTTGTAACTTAGCATTGCATGCTCCAGGATGACAGGTAAGGCTCTGCAATTGTCCCTGGGCATCCAGGCCCTGAAGACCTAGTGTGAATCAGAGTTCCAAGAAACAACATCACAACATCATTGTGCAATCACTTTTAGAAAGGCAAGTACGGCTCCACTGTACTTGGAAACAAATAGGAGGTAAAAGTCGCTAGAGGGAGCCCCTTAAACATCATATCCTGCATCAAACCTCACTACCTTGGGCCTTCAGCTCTTAGATGTTGAAACACTTTAATAGCATTACAGGGTATTACTGCCGCCAGTACTCAGTAAAGAAAACGGGGGAAAAGGACAGGACTATGCAAGGCTTCTGCAAAATTCGACATTCGTTCCACATTCTGAAAAAATACAGGCTATTTAAAGATTTCCATGCAGAAAACCAGCTAGTGCAGATTCAGTGCATTGGTTGGGAACAGAATTAGCTTTGCCTAGACCTTTTAAAAATGTCATTTTTAAGCAGCATCAATGAGAGGGCTCATGACCTTTCCCTCCTTCAAAGATCAAACACCAAAATGGGCACAAGTTGTTGCTCTGAAAATCTTTAGACCACGAGCACAACCCTTCTTCCTTTAACTTCACACTGTAGGTATGCCCAGTGACAATTCCCAGCAGCCAGACTTCAACAAGCGCTACTTGGAGCAGCAAACTGGTCTCCTCTCTCTGTGTTTAAAGAGGGCTGTGTAAAAGACAGCAAAGGTTTGTTCCTATCGTGTAACTGCAACCATGCATTCAATATTCTGCTGCATTCTAAATTTAGTAAATAACATAGAAGTTATAGTTTGTGGTTCTCAGTTACAAACTCTGTGGAAATTTGCAAGAAGTAGAAGTCCTGGAAAAAACACGAGGATATGAGAGCAGTGGAGATGGCCTCAGTTGCAGAAGAGGCTCTCTCAGTCAGCAGGGCCCTGCAGAGATTGATTGCAACCTGGACAGAAAAAGCCAGAAAGTGTTTCTTTTTAGAAAATAGGCAGCAGTAGAGGGCATCAGACAACAAGAAATCCTATGGACCTTAATGAATCCTTGAAGTACTCAAGTCTCAATGAGGGGAATGGGAATGAGAGAGGTACAGATTGGGATTCTGTAATGCAGGTGGGGATCAAAAAGCAGACCCTGAGAGAAGTAAAACCAGACACACGAATCCTTCTGTGCATGTTGGCTGTAACCACTCCAGCATGCTAATGTTGTGGTGGGAGGGAACAGGGAAGGGATCACCTATGGTGCTATAACTTGCCTCAGAGGGTCTCCACTAGCAATCCAACCTGAGCATTGCGATTGATACCAGCAACCCACCACAATATCTCCCTTCTCTCATAAGAGACAAAAATGCAGGAAACTCTCTGTTAGTGAAGCAAGATTGCTGTTGGTTAATGCCTCATGCTGTCCCAAAGCACTCAGTACAAGAGGACTCACATAAGAAAAAATCAAGAAAGTAAGCATTAGCCAGCATATAACCTTAATTTGTCCATCTGAGTGAAGGCTAGGAAACAGGCAGCACTCAGAAGTGGAGCTGAATGACTCATTTTCTGAAAAAGAAAATTCAAGCCTCTTACCGGCATTTCCTCCCCACCCTAGAACTATTTCTCCCAGCGTGTGCAGAGACAAGCACCTCACTGCAGCATGCACTCAGGGTTGCCATAAAGTGAGGCAATTAGTTCAATTTCTATTTCTACAACAAAGAACTGCTGCTCTGTAAGTACAGCGATTTTCTCTTTTCCTTGGTGTAAGTGTGGAGAGGTTTATTGGGAAGTGTTATTTATAGTACCTTTCACGGAAGTGTCTCAGACTCAAAGGAGATCATTCCCATCCCTTGAGAGACTGGTGGTTAGGCAGAGAGCATTTTATCTGTGTCTGCAGTGTTCCCCAGCCTGACCCTCAGTCCCTGTGCGAATGTCAGAGCTGTGCAAACAGCAGGGGGAAGTGCAGCTTGAGACTCCATGACAAGCCAGAACGTCCAGCTGCTTGGAAGCTCTGGCATAGCATGCTTTTCCTGTGGTGAGCTGTGGGACGTGCAGCTAGGGCACATTTCTGGACTGCCTTCAGAGACGCTGCGCAGTAGCAGCAGTCCTCGTGCTGAAAAGTTTGGAATCATTTTAAGTCACCAGTCTATCAGCTGCCTGCTTTGAACATAACTTTACCAGGTACTTTTTTCCTCCATTACTATGTTGGGAAATACACAGGAAAATGTTATTGGCTATTTGGAATTTATTTTTCCTTCTGTAGATAAAAATATCTCAGGGAAGTTTTCAAAATACTTTTTCCTTTACAACAACATTATTCACGTACAAGACTATGTACAAAGCGAGAGCTAGAATCTATGTGTTTACAAGTCGGGGGTTTCTTTTATCTGTATCAAGTCTACAAAACAGTAATTTTTAAAAGAAATTTTCACAGACTGAACAGTACTGAACTGAGTGGTATTAACTGTGTGACTTTTCACCGAGTGTTGCCAAACTGATGCCACAAGTATGTACTGTTTTCAAGAAGAGTGTATATGGTATGTCTGAAAACGTGAATATTTTCTCTTATGGGATTTTAGTATCTTGTAAGTATTTTGTTGGAAAAGTAAAAACTGATTATAAACTTTGACTAAATACAGGAAAACTATTGATAAAATGATTTTATTTCCAAGCTATTCCCCCTAGGATTATTAAAATACATGGAGAAAGGGACAAAAACTAAATTACTTTGGAGGAGGGATTAACAGTGGGAGAGGGAGGAAAAAATTTTGCTTTAAGCCAAATTCAGTTTGGATAGCACAGGGACTGCTTGCTTGCAGTTTCTCTGCCTGGATTCCCATCACCTTTCACTGAGGAAATGGTTTGACAGGGATAATACCAGTCAGTATATCAGCCTTCTGCTATTTTACAGGCAGCTTCTGGGGAAGCTCAGCCTCGAGCTCCAGGCTGTGCCTTAAATCTGTGTGTCTACTGTGAAACACAGGCAGTCAGTGACAACCCAATGACACAATTAAATCTGATTATTTCCAACTCCCTTTTACTTCAGCTGTTTTGGAGGCTCATAGCGTGTAAATATTAGAGATGGCTGAGGTGTTCCTTGTACATTTCTTATAACTACTTAGGATGCAGCAAAGGCACAAACTCACATGCAGGAAACTGAGTATCTCTAGATAGCAATGCTGCATCAGCTCTGGCACTTGTAAGCAAGTGTTTGGATGCCAGTTTTCTAAGCACAGAAATTTAATTTTTCCCATTGAAGCTTTTAGTACTGATGGATAAAATGCAAGAACTATTAAACTATTAACTAATATTAACTAAACTGTTTAATACATCATTTCTGGAAAACAAAAATAAATAGGAAACAAACATAATTCATAAAACTGAGATGCTTGACACAGTTCAGCCAGATGTGAGATAAATTTCAAATAAGTCTGTTTTAAAGCTTTAGAACAAAGCTGACTTGGCCCCTACTTCAAAGTCTTCAAATAGTTTATCTCACTGTCCTGACAGTGAAAGGAAAAGTCCCAGAGAAACCTCTTTATTCTCAGAGTTAAATAACAAGAGGTCACAAATTCTTCCAAGAAATTACAATTGTTGGAAAAAGATGACTAGAATTTTTACAACTAAAAAAATGCATCCGGATTACAAGCCTGAAAGGAAACTTAGCACATTATGTGAAAAAGCACAATGCTGCTATTGTCTATGATTATAGAAAAATAAATTATATTGAGGACTGTATTTTAAAATATTTTTTCCTTTCTGAATAGTATTTTTTATATAGATGATTCATGTAAGAAAACAGAATTATTTTGAGATAAACTTCTTTACACAAAAAGAAAAATCCCTCTGATAAGTGAAGGGCTAGCAATAAAAATATCATTAATGCTTTTACTCTTCTTCATTTAGGGTCTGATCTGAGGTGCACTGGAGTAAATAAAACATAATGTTAACAGGCTTTGAGTAAGCTTTTAATCTATTTCTACTACATCTACTACTAGGAAGGTGTAACTATGACAAAGTATTCTTCGTTTTGCAGGACTTGAACACTCCAGATGCAGAAATGATTTGGCAACTAATGTCTCATTGGTAAGAAAAAAGCCATGAGTTACTGTTTTATCATACTTAGATCTAAAGTGAGTGAAGCTTAATAATGACGTAATGCGGTGTTACAAAAGAGTAGCATTGTTTATCTCACCATGTGATTTTTGCTTGTTTATCTTGTTATTAAATTTTTCACAACCCAAAGATCCCAGTCCAGGCAAAAGCGATGTCAGAGGAAGTTGACCCCATTCTCAGCTTCCCAGAACAATTCTTCGTAAACATCCAAAGCCATGAAGCAAAATCACTTGTATGCCATCTGCTGCATGTAAATTCCAATGTGAGACTGCTCACAGGAAACTTGGAAACAATCAGGAAAGGAGATTTTAAAGTTATGGTCCTGACATTTTCCTCTTCATTACATCAGTTTGGGTAAATGATAAACACTTAGCACACCCTCTGTGTCTGGGCAGAGTGGTCTGCTCTGCAGCCAAGCTCACATTTGAGGGTCTCTGGCTATGTGCAGGAGCAGTGATCAATGGCCAGCTCACTGGCTTCTTTCCCTCTTCTGTGTTTCAGGTCACCCCTGGTTATACCCCTGATTTTTGGTCTGCTTCTGCAAGCACCATTCACACAGCCTTCCACCATCACACAGCCAAACTTTGTCCTTTTGCTGGCTGATGATCTTGGCATAGGGGATGTAGGTTGCTATGGGAATGATACTATCAGGTAAGGAAGCTGACCTTAAGGGTGAAGAGCTGGTGTGATATTTAGTGTAAACCCAAAATCCTCTGCCCAGTATTATCTCATAGCCTGGAGGGCATTCCCAGGGCCAGCTCTGCTGTGTGGTGTTGCTTTACTATGGGAATATGACAACCATTTTTGTGTATTTCTTAATTGCCTAACACTTAAAAAACAGCTATACCCAAAGATAGAAATATTGTCCCCTCTTTTAACACACAGGCCTCATTACCTCTTTTTAATTCTGTTACTGTTCCTTCCCAGTCTCAAATCAAAACACAGTTAAATGATTGCAATGAGCAATGTTACCAGGAACTATTTCTCTTTCCAGCATCAAGGACGGAGAATTTGCCTTCCTTTTTGAAAGTTGTGCCACAGTATTGCCTCCTGGCTTGTAAGCTGTTTGAACAAAACCAAATTTGCTACAATCCCTCCCCTCATCCAGCAAAGTTCTGGGAATCTTACCCTGAAAGGCTTCAGTCAGCAAGTTCCTGACAGGTAGCTGGTGATCATAGGTAACTGACAGGGCTCTGCAAAGCCAGGCCTCCACAGCATCGTTCCCAAGGCATGGATTTTCTCTTTACACATTCAGGGTGTACCAGCAGGGTGACTAAGTATCTGGGCTCTCTTAGCAGCTGGTTCTCTGCAGTGCAAAGAATAGCAGGATTTTGAAATAGCAGTTTAGGAAGAGACCTAGTGCTCCCTTGAGGAGGAATATTTATCAGCAAACTGAGATGGCAATTGTGCTGAACTACACCAACTGCTTTGCCAGGTTACCCCAGACTGGACCTCTGGCAAAAGGCTGTAGAGAATAAGAAGTCTTGTTGCAGATGTTTCCTGGCAATGTGTCTTTGAGAGAGGAATCCATAACAGTACAAGTACAAAGCAGCAAAACATCCAGGATCTTTCAAAATCCTACTGAAGGTTTTGCCTACTTGTGAACACCATTGAACTGACAAACATGAAATCAAAATTGTAAAATTGGAGCTCAATCTAATTTAAAATAAAAGTACACTCTTCTCACCTACTTACTCACACTGTGGCTTAATTCATATTGCCATGAGAGATTGCCACTACAGCGTGAAAACACGCAGGATTTCTTTCCATTTTTCTCCTTTTCCCTACAAATGTCATGAGAAGTACCTTGTTAGCTTCCTTATCTGTACTGTAATTCATGTAGCGTCTTGTCTAGTCAACCACTGTCACCCTGTGGCAACTAAATTACCATTATGCTGATGCACAGGCTGATACACTGCTCTGTAAGAAGCAAGTTTAAGAAAGGCAGCTCTGGAGGAATTAAAGGTCTTTGCTGTGAGGGCGCTGAGGCACTGGAGCATGTCCCAAGAAGCTGTGGATGCCCCATCCTTGGAAGTGTTTAAAGCCAGGTTGGATGGGGCTCTGAGCAACCTCATCTAGTGGAAAGTGTTCCTGCCCATGGCAGGGGGGTTGGAACTTCGTGATCTTTAAGGTTCCTTCCTGCCCAAACCATTCTACAATTCTATGATTTCTGCAAGGCTTTTCATAGGATGGGGAGGAATGGGGGGGAAGAAAAAAGAATGGTTGTCTTTTTACCATTAATTAATCCAGATACTGATTTTTAATTAAGAAAGAAAAAAAGAAATATTTCCCAAACACTTGAGAAAATTAAAATAAATTATAAAAATATTCCCTGGCCATCTTCAAATAGAAGAAACTTCCAAAAATAAAGATAAGTATATAATTTCTTATTCCCTTGAAAGACTCTCTGGATGATATCTGGCAGCGCTGGTTGCGTTTTTAGGACCCCGAACATCGATCGCCTGGCAAAGGAAGGAGTGAAGCTGACCCAACACATCGCTGCAGCTCCACTTTGCACCCCCAGCAGAGCAGCTTTCCTCACTGGCAGATATCCCCTCCGATCAGGTTTGCCTTGCAAAGCCACACACCCTTTAAACATTGCTTTATTGCTGGAGAGAGCAATGTCCTACAATGGGCACAGAAGAAATGAGGATGTGCCAATAGGGATGTCACAGACACTCCATCCCTCACTGAGACACATGAGGTGTCAGACAATTATTAAATTATAATTAATGTATAATAATATTCTATAGTTTATATAAATTTATAATACTTTAATAATTAATTATTAAAGGCTAAGTACCTTTGAGGTGGCTTCTGTATTTGTAGGGTATTTGTGAACTGATCTGGGAGAAGCAGAACGGAGAAGAACCAGCTCTGCAGAGCATCTTGGTCTCCCACAACACAAAATTTTGGTTATGTTTTGATGTTCTGTTGTACAGATTGCAGCCAGAATTGACCCAGAGCAAACTGTTACATTCTAAAAAGTCATTACACAAAGTATGAAGAACTTACAAAGCACTAGTTAAATTAATTTCTGTCATAGGTGACTCCTCATGAGATGTCAGAAGCAGCTCAGCCCTGCAGGGATCAGGGTAGGCCTGTGCACATGTGTATCCATTCCCTCCAGTCAAGGTGCAGAACAAGTCATTCATGGGAAAGCTTTTTATGTGTCTGTCAGAATTAATCTGTCCTAGCACATAACAGTTTAACAGCAATATTATTTTTCCCAGTTGTGTTTTTGAAGAAAAAACACCATCCTCTCAAAATGCATCCCTGAGATGAAGAGGTATGAAAAACAAATAGCTCTACATGTCTCCAACAGCAGCCCTCAAATGTTTGTTCTATTGCAAATTATCTTCAGAGCCTTCATTCCTGAGGCATTTTGAAGCTCATATGTCATCCTACTTTTATCATGACAGCTCCCACTGAGACTGGGAGCTTGAAAACACACACGAGCACATACAGACCCTTTGCCACTGTAATAACAGGGCCAGAGATGTTCAGTGCTACAATGACAGGCTGAACTTCACATAGTGCTGGATGATGGGGTTATGCCAGGATAAAATACTAAATGGTAGGGTGTAAACCTGCAGGTGAAGAGAAGATGGATACTTGGTGGGGCTCAGAGATCAGATATCAGCCATGTCACTGTGCAAGGAAACCCTGAGCTCCCTGGCAGCCCTCAGTGAGCTGGAGTCTGAGACTGACAGGGAGTCTCCCCACACTCCTTCCTGCCCTCACACCCACACTAAGCAAGTGCATTTCATACTGCCTAGGTGCCACCGTAAAATATAAAATCTCCTACATGACTGTGCCATTCCAAATGAAATGAAATAAAAAAAATAAAAACTCAATATGAGATACAAAAAAGAAAGAATAGGTGCTATGGTGAGTCTTAACTCTTTCTTAATCTTGTCCAGGGTCTTAGATTCATTTTCCCAAACAAACAGCATTAGGACAAACATTTAACACTATCATTTCAATGAGATCAGGAAACAAAAAAGTATGTACTTACTCAGATTGTTTTTTATTGCATTTTTAGGGATGGATGCTATAAATGATTACCGTGTTATTTTTTGGAATGCTGGCTCAGGAGGGCTTCCTCCAAACGAAACCACTTTTGCCAAAATACTGCAGCACCAAGGCTACAGCACAGGACTGATAGGTATGGGGGTGCTCTTCTCCTAAAGATGTTCTTGAATGTGTTTCACCTGCACATCTCACTCAAACTATTTGTTTTAGTTAGGAACTGCTCATACTTCAGTTGTAGTATATTTATTTCCTGATTAAGAATAATATGTAAAAAAAATGAAAAGTACCTCTCTTAAAAGAACAAGGATATGATGAAGATGGAAATTTTTACCATTGACCCACTTTCAAGCACAGCTGTGGTTGTTAAAATACATAACAGAAATTATGAATATTATTATACCAGGTATAAGCTAGTTATTCCAATATTATTTCAGTAAAGAACAAAGTAAAAATATCAGTGCCATTTAAATATTCATGATGATGTTTTACACAGTTCAAAGCAGATTCACACAACAGGGAACAGCTGCTACTGAAACATTAGAGACAGTTAATAGTGTCACAAGATTGGGCCTTTCAGAAACAGAAACAAAGCAATTATTTTTTTCTTCAGTCACAGCCTTCCACTATAGCTCACCAAGATTTAAGTACAGCCCAAAACCACTGCCTTCTTCAGCATCAATGTGAATTTTATTTTACTTCATGTTTTGTAATGATATTTTTTAGTACAGTTGTAACTTTTGGTCATCATCTTGTTTCAAATAATTATTTACCTTGAATGTGTCATATAGTCGCACAAGCTGATAAAGCACAAACATTCCTAGCTGATTTTTATCTGAGCATGTAAAATGTCAAAATCCAAAATCTGTACCTGGCACATAAAAATATTAGCTGCACAAACCAACTGAATTTATTAATAAAACTTCCTGCAGAAACATATTTATATTCATTCAGCAGAATAAATCTAAACCACATGGGACAAAACTAAAAGAAGCCTTCCAAGCAATTTAAATTCTACATTACTGAAGCTCCATCTCCTGTTAGTTTGGTAGCAATTTTATTTCAGTTGTTTTAACCGGCTCATAAAACATCTTGGTTTCAGCATGTTATCACTAGCAGAACAATCAGATTTGTTTCCACTCTCCCCAGGGAATTGCCCTACAGCTGAGCTGTGCTGCTTGCCTCGGAGAAGCAAAATGGGGAGGCATCTTCCCTGTGGGCATCTCAGCTAAAAATCACACTACAGATGCCAAAAAGCATCACTTAGATTAACCAGATTGACAGATCCTGATTAATTGCACCACGGGGGATGATGGAAATCCCCAATGATAAGTGACACACAAAATACCACAAGAATTTTGCATTCAAGTCATGAAGCAAAAAATCTTAGCATCCACCCACGTCACCACAGCTGAATGAGCACTAAGTAGTCTCACCTGAATTGTTTGTGATTGTTTTGCCCTGAGCACAACCAGTTTAATTGCAAAGTTAAATCCTATTAATAACCTGCAGCTTGAGGTGATAATGAGATTTTTTTGGAAATGCTTTGAAGGTTCTTTGTAGTCAGAAAACCAATGCTGTATAACTAATGCCCTCAGAGATTAATTTATCTTAATTATACACTTAGTTTAGCTTCTGGAGATTTGATTCTTTTCTATCATGTCAGAAACCTTTATCGACCTCAGCTGGAGATTGAGGTGTTGGAGTGCATCTGAATTCCAAGAATACTTTAGCTGCACCTGTGTTTATGACCAACACATCTATGTATTGGTTACAAACCTGTTTCATTCTAGAGCTAGCTCTAAATGTGTCAGGAGGTAAACTGAGTAGAGATTTTAGCTGAAAGCAATTCATCCCTAGAACTTCCATCCTTTTTTTTTATTTTTTAAATACTTACAGCCAAGAAGCAGCAATTTTTCTCCTCTGGGGTAGTTTTTCTGCTCCTATTGTAATGCATTGCAATTCTATTGAAATGTACTCAGGGTGGCTACTTAATATGTACAGTATTTACATATATCAGTATTTATATATATATATATGTATATATATATACATTACAGTATTTATATATATCAGTACATTATATGTACTGATAACACACAGAACCATTTCTTGAGGATAACAGCATCCTGGAAGTGCACAGTTCCTGTCTCCACAATAAGAATTAGTTTCAATTTAGTTTTAGAGTAAAATTTTTAATGTCCATTTTGATCTGACATCCAAGATCTGCACAAAATTCAGTTAAACCTCTGATGAATGGTAGATTTTGTTCACTCAGTTGAGACATTCTCATACCTTAGTGTTTGAACAAAATGAGCCAACTTGCTATGTCACCATGTAAGTTCCTAATCAGTCTATTTGAATAGACTGGAGGGGAAGAAAAAGCATGGTTTTGATGTGCCATTCAAGACAGTAGTTGGTATGTTCATAATGAAGAACAAATTGTGTTGCAAAAGGTCAAAGGATGGTCCTTCTTGTATATGAAGACTTCAGTATTTAAAAGAAGTAGGCTTTAACCTTTTAAAATTTGATTAAATATGAATAAATGGAAAAATATTTAAAAACAAACTCTTATTCTTATTCAGTATATGGAGCTATAATGACCATCACACTTACAAATGTACAGCTTCTTGAGAAATCCTGATTTCCTGAGCTCAAATTGTTCTGGATCCAGTAGTTTGTCTGGCAAACAGTTGCTTGACTGCTCTATCCGTATCTTCCCTTATCAATCTGGCACCAACACTGAGTGTTGCTGTAGTCCTGACATCAAGCACTCACAGGAGCAAGTCTGTGTAGCACTTTGAAGGTAAAAGGAACAACAAAACAAGTTGGTTTTTTTTATTTCCCCTAAGCTTACAAAAGGACAGCTTCCTCCTCTTTGCTACTTGACAAGTGGCCAGGAAGGCTACAGGAATTTTTTGCTCAGTTCGGAATTTTTCTCAATTTCTATTTGCTTTTATAGGCTTTTTTTTTAAATGTTTGATCAAAACTATAGGGCATGAGTATATATACAGAACACAAATAAATGTGCTGAAAAATTATAAATTATAGAGGTTTACTTTAGTCAATCCCATTGTATAACTACATACTTGGTATATTTCTGTGTAGGATGAAGAAGCAGAAAACAACCAACCACTTTTTGAGAAATGTTTTGTATAAGGAAAAGTCCATTATTTTAAAATATTATCTCTTTATATTTTAATAACCTCTGTGTTCAGGGAAGTGGCATCAAGGTGTTAACTGTGAATCCCGCAACGACCATTGCCATCATCCTTTGAAACATGGATTTGACTATTTCTATGGCATGCCTTTTACACTAATAAGTGACTGTCAGCCAACAGAAACACCAGAGATGGACAGAGCCTTTAGAAGGAAACTCTGGCTTTCCACTCAAATGATTGGCCTCATTACACTCACCGCTGTCCTTGGACGACTGACCGGCTTGATTTCAGTCCGCTGGAAAACACTGACCTGCCTTGCTGGGTTTAGTCTCCTGTTCTTCATATCCTGGTTCTCAAGTTATGGATTTGTACGGTACTGGAACTGCATTATGATGAGAAACCATGGGATAACTGAGCAGCCAATGGTGACAGACAGAACTACGTCCCTTATCTTGAGAGAGTCCATTTCATTTATTGAAAGGTGAAGTGGACTTTCTTTGACCACAAATTTTCTCATCCTTGCACATTTTGCTACTTGTAAAGAGCACTTTCCTGTTTCATGTCTTCATACATTTTTATAATTTTTATAATTTCTTTTATAATTTTTTATAACATTGTGTAGGATTATAAGTACTTTTATTTTTATTCATTTTAAATAATATCAATAGTTATATCATGTAATTCAAAAGAAAAAAAAACAACCTACTGTTTAAAGGATGCCCTTTATTCCTAGGTTCACTAAAGCTGATAATACTTACCAATTTCCATGGGCTGTATTGAATATTCCTAGACTGTATTTAAGAAATATGTATATCTACCAATGAGACCAATGCTATATCTATCAATGCTAAAGCATTGCAGCTTTAAGGAACGGCAGGTGATGTCAGAAATGTGTGTGTGGGCCAGGGAAGGAGAAGCAGAGCTCTGATGTAGTCTTATCATATGGACTGATAAGTGGGAAACAGCTGGCAGGAGATGAACCTGCTGCCTTTACTTCAGTAGCACAATGGTACTTTTGCGATTCCAGAAACTGGATCTTCAACCTGGAAGTTTTATATCTATGACTCAGGGTAGAAAAAGAATAATTTTATACAGGCCCAAAATTATTCTATGACATCCTAATCATTGGGTCGTAACATCTTACAAAGTAAGGTGTTTCTGAAGGGATTGTTGAAATATCTATACAAAAATAGTATCATTTTTCACTACAACTGATCTGCATTGAGAACATTCCTTCCAATAACACAGTGTTGATTTCTTTTTTGTAGAAATAAGAACAGACCATTCCTCCTCTTTCTTTCCTTTTTGCATTCCCACACTCCTCTCCTCACCACGGAGAAGTTTATTGGGAGGAGCAGACATGGTTTATATGGAGACAACGTAGAAGAGATGGACTGGATGGTGGGTAAGTTAGCATATAGTAATGTCTCCATCCATCTAATATCTGTATCTAAATAAAAAGTTTTATTAAAAGGACAAGAAAGATTATTAAAAAGCATGTAAAAAAAATCTTAATAATTTAATGAACATCTGTCAATCTTGTGTGAGCACTGTTGATTTGTAGTGTTGGTTTGTTGTTTTTTTACTTACTCCAGTCTTGGGCCAAATGTTCACTTTTCTTTTTTTTTTTTTTTGTCAAGTGTTTACCAGTTTTAACCATGTCCTCTTAGCTCCTGCCAAGGAGCTCTCCTGTTCTTCCTTCTAAATATGTGAGAATTATTTCATTTTCTATGATTAATAAAGACCAGGTCATCTCAGCCTCTTATGATCATTTCTAAATAGGACATGTCAGAAGGTGATAAAACCGATAAGCAAATTAATTTCAATTGAAAAAGAGCAGGCTATTTATTTGTGACTGCTGTATTAAGCACAATACTAAATATTTTTCAGTCACAATCATAAATACAGAAATGTTCATCAGGATTACCTGGTATGCCCCCCACTATAAGATTCATGTTATTTTTCAGCCTGTTTTTCTGGAGGGGAAAGAGAATTATTTATCATTCAGTCATGAGGGACAAAAAGTACCCACATTTGCAAAAGAGAGAAAAGTCAGGTACACATACAGAGAGGAACTGGTTTCAAATCTAACAGTCAAATAATTAGACACTGTAAATATAACTGAGGACATCAGAAACAGCTCAAGAATTACTTTTCATTTTAAAGGAACTTTGTTATTAATGCATATTATATCTATGCAGTAATGTAATGGAAATCCTAACTTTGGTCTAGACAATATGAAGGTAACCTTATGTTTTTTCCATATTTTTCATGATGGCCACCAGCGATGCAGCCACTAACTTTTGGGGGCTTTAGATCATAATTTCTTTCCATATGATAACTACAAATCTCAGTCTTAAAAAATATTAAACAATGGGTGGCCTTGACTTGTAAATGCTCACAAGTCAGAGGTTAAAATTTATGTAGTATGAGGGATATTCCTGCTTTTTAATATACCCATATTCTTGCACTTATAGGCCAGGTTCTAGACGCTGTTGACAAGGAAGGCTTGAGACATACTACACTGGTTTACTTTGCCTCTGATCATGGTGGATGGCTGGAACGACAAGAAGGCAAAAGGCAGCTGGGTGGCTGGAATGGAATATACAAAGGTAAGAGCTGCCAGGGACAGTGACAAACCAGCAAAAACTAGTTGAAAAGCTTAGGACACCCCTAAGGCTTAAGAAAGACTGTACACTCGAGAAGTAACACTGGTTTGTTACCAAGAAGCAAAAATGTCTTGCTCTAATCAAGCATGTAGCAATGTAGTAAATTCTAATCTGGACAGGTGTCCTTTTTAAGCATGAATTCTCAGATTGTCGGGGTCTGGCCTACTGAACACACTTTCATTAATGCTCAGTAGGAGCTTAGCAGCAAAAACAAAAGAGTAAAGAAGGCTCATCAAGATAACATGATAATACAAAAAATTGTGCAAAAATTCTCTTTATTTTAAATCAAATGTATTTTTTTTTTTCTTTTTTTTTTATTTTATGAAAGGTGGAAAAGCTATGGGAGGATGGGAAGGAGGAATCCGTGTCCCAGGGATATTTAGATGGCCAGGAGTGTTACCTGCAGGCAGCGTTATTGATGAACCTACAAGCCTTATGGATATTTATCCTACAGTAGTTCATTTGGCTGGAGGGACAGTGCCTCAGGACAGGTACAAACAAAAGCATCTTTCTTCTTCCTTCTTTCCCAAAACAATGGAAAATCTAGTTTGGAAACACATTTTAATAATTTGATGTTTTCTTTTTCAGTCCTGCTGCTTTTCTAGACACATCAATGTCTACGAGCTCTGTCACCTCTTCTCTACCTTTGAGATTCAGCCCCTACCTGCCATCTCCTGCAATCCTCTTTCTTGTCCAGAGCTGCCTGTTGCAGCTGGAGGTGTGCAGAGGAGGCACAGCTCCCCTCAGCCCTGTGGTCTGTTTCTCATGCTAGGGTGATTGATGGCCGGGATCTGCTGCCCCTACTGCGAGGCACGGTGGCGCACTCGGAGCACGAGTTCCTGTTCCACTACTGCGGCACTCACTTACACGCTGCACGCTGGCACCAGAAGGACAGTGAGTACACAGCTTCTTTCCAAAGAGTTGGATCCAGTCTACAGGAGGGCACGTGGTTCCAACAGGTTGTTTTTTTTCTGGGATTATGTTTTTCCAAGTAGTTCAGGTGTAACGTGGTAAAGAACTTGCTAGCATTGCCTGGATTGTACAGCACCAGGAAAAATTACAGTATGACTTTAACTAATAAGTGCAGAGCTCAAGTGCATCCAGAAATGAACTTTAGAAAAACATTCGTTCTTCCCTGTGATAAATGATAACCAGCCTTCTGTGATTCTTTCTTTCCTGCCAGCTGGAGCTGTTTGGAAGGCTCATTATGTGACTCCCATCTTCAGTCCTCCTGGAGCTGGGGCTTGTTATGACAGAGGATTTTGCCCATGCTTTGGGGAAGGAGTGGCCCATCATGAGCCTCCATTGCTGTTTGAGCTCTCACAAGACCCTTCAGAAGCCAAACCTCTCTCAGCTGACACAGAGCCCCTCTTTGAGACTGTCATAAGGAAGATTGGCAGAGCCATAGAGGAGCACCGCAGGACTCTGACTCCAGTGCCAGAGCAGCTCTCTGTGTCCAACGTGGTGTGGAAGCCATGGCTGCAGCCGTGCTGTGGGACATTCCCGCTCTGTTGGTGTGATAAGGAAGATGACAGCACACAGATTTTCTGAGATGCATGTCTAATGACACATCCTGTGCCACTGAGTACTCTGCTGACAAAGATATCAGATAATAATTGAGTTTTTTCTTCTCCTGGGAAGCAAAGTGGATGAAAATAAAGAAGAAAAGGAATATCAATCAGAAGTTTTCCCCTTCGTTCTTTGCCACTAGCTAAAGGTTTAAGGAAATCCTGGTTTTGCAGATTTGAGTATAAGAGAAAACTGTAGAGGTGTGTTCCCAATATCTGACTAATTTATGCCTTCTCAAGGAACACAGTTGAAAAATGCTGCAGAGAGCCAAGTGCACAGTGCTGAGCAGGCAGCAGTAAGAAATAAAAATAAACCTCTAAATGTTTGCAGTTGTGTCTCTATAGCCCACAAATCACAGTTCTACTCTATTTAAACATAGTAATTGTAGTCATTACTGCTTCCTGTACTGCTCTATTATCTCTGTTGAGATGCTGCTCCTCCTGAGGTGGAGGAAATCTGATGTAGTGAGGGATTTTCCTCGAGTTGTGAACTTGTGATCTGAGCTTTATCTGGGTAAAAATAACCTATGTCACAGATAATATGAGGTATAAAATATTAATGTGCAGTATACCTCTGCAACAGTTATATAAGTGAGAGAAGCATTCTGCCCATCAGAAAGAGGTCCTGCAGCATACTGATTTGGCAAAACAATTTTATTGCATATAAGATGCTAATAAAAATGTTTTTAATTAATAATTTGCAGTGTTTTAATGTCAGTTGTAGAAAAATAAAGTACATTTGAGAGTCATATTGGAGTAAAAAAATATTTGGTAGCAATATATATATTTTTGCAAGCTATAACTTGTATAAAGGGATCGTGCCAGTACTAAAAAAACACATATACCCAAACCAACAGAATAAACACCTTCAGTGGTGTGACCCTAGGCAGACTTTCTAAGGAGATATGGCTTTGCACTGCATTTTACAATGAAATTACATAGATTTTAGGGCTTTGAACTATATTAATGGCAGTATTTTTTTAGTAGTAGATGAAGTCCAAATTCATAATAAGCGTCCTGCTAGAACTCTAGGAAGACTGCTTGTTGAATTTAGTAAATGGAAAAAGGTTTTTGTAGTTTGTTGTTTTGCTTCTTTTCCCCCCTTTGAATATCCCTGCAAACAGTTTACTTGTTTGGCCAATTTAGTAGATTAACACTTGTCTTCTTATCTCTTAGGGATTTTTTTTTTTCCAAGATCTGAGATAGAAGCAATTTTATGAAATTTTGTATGTGTCATTTCAGTATTTATGTTCACGGCTCTATGTTCACTCAGAAAGCTTGTCAAAGGGAGAAGGAGCTAAATGAATGCCAGCGTTTGCTTTTAGTACTCAGACATGAGTGAAAAGCCAGAAAGAAAACAACAGTATAAAATACACAGTGACTCAAAAAAAAAAAAAAAGTTTTTGCTGGAAGAGAATTTTCCTATTTACAGCATGAAGTAAATAGCAGCTTTCTGTGCTCAGGGGCAGTGAAAAACTGGTTAGCTGAAGAGGAGGAAATATTGCTGCACAGATAAAAATCATCTCCCTCCTGCTTTGGTGTTACTTATTTGCCTTTTTTTCGTTGTTAAAAAAGGGGGTTGTTTAAAATTTAATTCAGTGGAAGACAATAAGTAATCATGGCTGTTATTTCAGTGTAAGGTCACTAATGTAGTGGGGAGAAACAGAATACAAGGTCTGTGCTTCCAGATGGAGTTTTGCTAGCAAGGAAAAATGAGAAGGTGTGAGATTTATTTTTTTTGGGGGGGGTGTGGATGTGGAGGGCTGGTGAGGATGGTAGGGACAGTGTAGTTTCAGCTTGCATTTCTAAGTCGTGCCAGAAGGAGCATGGGCCCATCTTCAGTGGTGAACACTTAGAGGGAAAGATGTAAATAGTAGAAGAAATGTTTAGTGATAATTTGGATGAAAGCCAGTGAAACTTAACACTTGTGTTATTAGCAGTTTTCAAAGATCTGCAATTCCATAAGCACAATGTAATTCTTGAGAAATATAATTTGTTTCAAGTCTTTGCACCAGAAGCATCACAAGCTGTTAAGCAGTCACACAAAATAAATATTACAGTCAAATAAATATGAATAAAAGTAGCCCAGTGTCACAGCATAAAAATAACTGAATATAGTCACAAGTGCAAGGAGGTAAAAAAATAAAAAGCTGTCTCCAACCCTGGTTATCCCTGCCACTGGATTATATGAATCTGATAGTTTTAGCTGCTTCATCTTTCCATATCACTGACTCCTACTGACTTCTCTAGAACACAGTCTTAAATTCAGCAATAGCTGTATTCAAGTAGCCCAGAGAACCAAAATGTCAGCAAATAAATAAGGCTCCTCCAAGTAATTGCTCAAGACCTTCTGAATTGTAAAATGTATTACACCAGAGTAAAGATCTGAAAGAAGGGGATGTATAGTAAACACTACAAATAAACACATCTTCAGCACAGGTATGCCTTCCTTTCTAGAAAATTCAACAAAAACAGAAGAACAACTTGACAGAAGAAGAAGAGGACAAGCTAGTCCTTTTATCTCATCTGGAAGGCTGGAAAAGCTGTGTGGGAGAAAGAAAACCATTTGTAGCATATCCTGTTATTATTTATAGAATATTTTCTGAAGCACTGAAACTGAGCAGTGACAGACTTTATACGAATTTTCTCAGAATTAACTGGATAGGGAATCTAGAAGAGACAGTAGCCATGTCGTGCTAGTATTTAAACAATAAGGACTTTGTACTTTGCCTGGAATTCATGTAAAATCTGCATAGCTGTTCCCATTTGATGGCTGTTCCAGTTTAGTGGCTGTTGCTGGCAGGGATCCCAGTGTGTCCATGCTGGAGAGAGGGGGAAGGGAGAGCAAGAGGAACGGGAGTGAGTTCCTGCCTGCTTTCACCTGCAAACCTTATAGCAAATCAGGACTGCTGAGCACATCCAGGAGCAAGAGGGATTTCAGAACAAGAATAACTGAGAAGAGGGTTTGTTTTCCACATTGTTAAAAGGGGTTGGCCTTTTTTATTAGTCCTGATGATCATTTTGTTTTGGCTTACTAGGTTACAGTGGGAACTATTATCAAATGTATTCTTGGATTTCTGTAAGAGATTGCTGATTTTTAGTGACTGCTGTTAGATTTATAAATTATGTTGTGTTTTCTCATTTAACAGATAAGGAAACTGGACAAGCCCTAGGGCCCAGTAGTGGTTTCAATGCAACTGTCAGTGAGATGTCTGCTTTCAGAATGAATCAAACCTTAACAGAGAAATGTGAATACGTATATTTAAATAGTGGTGGGTTTTTTTAGTTAGTGTGGTCATTCTAGTAGTCTTTTAGTAAAAGAAGTGCTCCTAAAGTGGCTTGCAATAAATCAGCTAGTGCCACATCCAATGGTATTTAGATCTTTTTATACTACCAGTATGCCTCTGTTCAAGTTCACAGTTTTTCTGTGGGACTCTACATAAGTTTTCTGTCTAAATACTCATGTGCCTGCTATGACCAGCTGGCTGTGATGCAAAAACCTCTGGGGAGAAAGTGGAAGACAGCAGCACTGTCCAAGTATGAGCTTAGAAAGCTGATCAACACCTTGGGAAGTCAAGGGATTTCCTAGATGTTCAGATCTGTCTGGTTCTTTTGCTCCACTACAGCTCACAAGGGCTGAGCCTCAGCTACTTGGTGTAGACTGAAGATTATCATTGTAATAGTTTTGGCTTAACCGTGTACCACAAGCTCTTTAAATGTAATGCTGCCTAACAGTGGCTGGGAAGGCAGAGGTCTACCTGTTGTTAAAGCACTGTGAAGATACTGCTATTACAGGTGATGACCACAGCCATCAGCCTTTCCTTGTTGTCACAGATTAGTGGCTTCAGGCACTTGCCACATCATTGCTCCAGCTCTGTCCTACAGGACCAGAGTTCACTGGGGCCTCGGGGGAACTGCACCCAGACTGTGGCAGTGAAACACCACTACACTGCCATCTCAAAAAGGTTTGACATCCTGGTAGCAAGTCCTTTCCTTCATATTAATACGGCCTGCCTTTTTGATAGTGGGGTCCTGGCATCTGCATTCCCAGCAAGTTCTTGCTTCAAACAGCCACTGCATTGAGTCAGAGAGACCTTGTGCCTTCCCATTAGTCTGTGACTCACTATGCAGGGAGGATGAGCTTTCTGTAGTGCCTTTGTTGTTCTAGGGGGTTTTGTTGTTTGCTTGAAAGGGTTTATTTTTGTTTCGCTGAGGGATTTGTTTGTTTATTTGTTCTAGTGCTGGTGGGTTTTGGGTTTTATTTTTTAGTTTTTTTATTTCCCTTATAGTCTCCACCATAGCCAAACAAACATCTAGATGTTGCCTGAAAAAATCGTCAATGGGCCGCAGGTTCTTACTTTTTTAATACTTTCCTGGTCAGAATAACAATACTGCACTTTTTTCGCCTTATGGCACATCCTCTGAAATGCATAACGCAGGATTATACTCAGCTCTGGCTAGTTTAGTATTCCTCAGAAATTCAAGGTAAACTGTTGTGTACTAAAAAGGCAGAAAAAAAAACTCTCAGAAAATGCTGCATTTTCATTTTTGGAGAAAAAAAGCAACAAGTCTTTCATTAGTCAAGACAGAGCTTTTCAGTTCTCTGTGTTTAGCAGTGACTCTGTGTTTACAAACATCTTGAGTTGTTATAGCAAGTAAATATTCTTATTACTTTCAATCTCTTCCTTGGTACAGGCAACAACGTCTTTGTTCTTGTGATGTTTTGAAATAGAAAGAAGTGTGGAAAAGCAGGGGTATTGCATGGATGGGATATTTCTAAGTTTTTTTTCTCTTTTCTCAGTAATGGAATAAATGGAATCTAATTTAGCTCAGTATACTCCACAAAACTGAGCATGTGACAGTCCCTGCTGGAGCGAGCTTACCATGTACTTCTGCAGGACTGCTTGCACAGTCCCAGTGCAACATTTTCTGCAGATCCCTTAGGCCATTCACAAGGAAAAGGAGTGCATTTCACAAGCCATTCTTTTTCCAAAGGGACTAGGTGTGCTCTCTAATTCAGCAAGCAGGGAAAATCACTTCCACTCATAAAATTTGCCTTGCCAGACCAAAAATAAATATTTAAGAAATGAAAAGATTGTTTCTAGATTTTTAAAGTCCAAGTTGACTTCATAGAGTTGGCAAGTAGAAAAATTGGCTTGCTAAGTTAATAAATGGCGTTAAGCTTTGGAGTCCTTTAAGAAAATAATCACAAAGGTATTTATGTTTCTAGTAACTTCTAGTTTCTAGAAATTTTTAGTAACAATTCAGATAGAAACACCTTCTTGAATGTACTAGATGGCATCTAAACCAAAGAATAATACAGCCTCTTTCCTCAGAATAACAGTGACAATATTAGTTTCCAGAATGGCTTTTATTTGATGTATTTTTTTAGTTTATAAGGACACAGTAAAGGTTAGATTCTTTTCCTTAAAGTTGGTCTGAGGTTAAATAAAAAGTGAGCTCTCAGTTTTATGCCATTTGTAAAATGGTGAAAACATTCATCTCAGTGGACACCAACAGTTCTGTGCATGTATTGAGTAATGGGCACCTCTAGCACTTTTTTAAAGCCACTAACATTTTGTCTTCTTTCCAAATTCTCACAAGTCTCCCTGGAGTTAGCAGCAGCTGGAAAAGAGGCAAGACCTTGCAAAACTGCATGGAAAATCACCAGAACTTCTGGGGTTTGATTTTTTTCTTTTCCTTTTCCATCAGCATTTATATGACCAATTATGTACCTGTTTCATAAAATGGAAAACTATGAAGTTTACCAGGGAAAACAATGGTAAGAAAGACATTCACTGAGGCTCTTTCCTGGATTTTAGGTGTTGTGCTTAAGAAAACAGATAATTTATTATTAACAGAGATATATTAAGCAGATAATCTTACATTTTCCCTGTTACCACCACCCCAACTCAATGAGGAATGAGTAGCTAATACAGGTTTGGCTCCGTTGGTATTTCAAAACCTATTAGCCTACTTTTATAAGACATGGAGGTTTAGGAATATGTATAGTGTATGGTATAGTTACTATACATTTATCATGTTGTAGTATCTACTAATGAATTAATGTCATATCTATTAATGAACCAGAAGTCAGAAGATGTGTTCTAGCATATGTATTTTACTTCAGGTGAGCATCTGTAAGCTTCCAATTGCAAACACTTTGAGCACCAAAACATGCAGAGATATTCTTGGGGTCTCCTAGGAAGATAATCGAGTTTAAGCCTGTTGCTGCACCTTGATTTTGCAGAAGGTCCCATGGCTTGAAGAGCACTTTCCCGACACTGTGTATAGCAGAGGGTGCAGTAAATGCCACAGTCAAGACATTGCCATAAAGACCAGCATGACTTCACACCAATCACCTTTGTGTTCCTGTCCCACTCATTCCAAGAGCCTTAACTGGAGCACCCTACAGCTCCATACAGAGGGTGCCTCAGGACACTTGTAGTATCCAACTACTCATTCTAGTGGGAACATCCACAGAGAGCAGTGCAAATGTCAATAAAGAAATGCAGACACAAAATTCCTGTGTGAAAGAATAGTAATAGTAATAGTAATAGTAATAGTAATAGTAATAGTAATAGTAATAGTAATAGTAATGGTAATGGTAATGGTAATGGTAATGGTAATGGTAATGGTAATAACAACAACATCCCCAGAAAATAATACTAATATTATAAAACTCAAGGACTTGTGTATGTATTCAGGAGCTCCATCTGCTGGCACTCTTTGGTTGCTGTTTGCACCTATACTGAGTCCCCATAAAACTTTAAGAATAGTAGTTTAAAGTCTATTGTAAAACTTACAATTGTTTTTTTTGTAATGTTACCTCTTTACTTTTGCTTTTAGGAGCTACCTAAATATTTGGCTAATTTTATACCTGTTTCCAAAAATCTGTGTATCAAATCCTTCAAAACCTAACTTTTTACTGATACTAGCTGATGATCTTGGTATTGGAGATGTGGGTTGCTATGGCAATGATACAGTAAGGTATGAAATAAATTATCCCTTCATGGTAAACTTTATTTAAAATATCTACAGATGATATTTAGCATTAAAATTCATTATTAATTTATTAGTTTATTCAGATACACTTCTTTTCAAGCTATGTACAAAATGCATGTTCTACAGTAATTCCTACAGGAGTCATAATTATGCAGACATGCTTGAGAAACTTTCTAGGACTTAGAACTTTTCAAATGTGTTTGTGCACTCTACTTACCAGGCATGACAATAATACATACATTTACATAATTCCAGGGTTGAAATATGAAGGAATGAGATTAAAATTTAATATCTGTCAACAACTCTAGTAGACTTAGTATGAAATGACAGGTCAGTCTATGCAATATATGTATCCCTAGGGCAATTATCAATCTGTATATTGATTGATTAAGAGAATGATGTCTTTGTTCTAGCCTATTATTGTCTTGGATATTGTGTTGTGAACAGGCTCTTGTTCCCTGTGGTGCTTGGGATTCTGGTGTGGGACATACCTGAGATACCTTGCCTTTTTCCACCCTTTTTTTTTCTAGTTATTAATAAAAATATTTATACCCATTGAAAACTCATTTCTAAGGAGTCAAGGTACCTCAAAAATACATATAAAACACAGAACTTTTCTAGCTGAGTAGTAGGTAAACAGGTATTTGTAAATTTGACGGTGACTGGCTCAACAAAACTAGGGGGAGCTGTATGCCGTGAAATGCTGTGCAATATGTTTTATCAGAGGTGGGATTTTTCTCTTTAGGACCCCTAACATTGATGGCCTGGCAAAGGATGGAGTGAGACTTACTCAGCACATTGCTGCAGCAGCTGTCTGTACCCCAAGCAGAGCCGCTTTCCTGACTGGCAGATACCCTATCAGATCAGGTTGGGCCTCTCTCCAATGGTTTGCTGCAGTTAGTCTAGTCACTGTTGAAATTAAAAATCCCCTTAAATAAACCTTGTTAAAGAACAGTTAATCTTGGGATTTGGAGTCTCAGTGAAATGGGCAAGAATTAGAGATGACTAACGATTGACTTCTATTGGAAAATCCCCATATAAAACACATTATGTGCAGCTAAATGACAACACAGAAATGGACAAAAATCCAAACAGTTCAAAGCACTCAGAGGTAGAAAAAGAAATAAAATTGTGTGATGTCGAATGTTCAGCGGCACTAGGATTATTACTATGAAATGTAATATTTTTAATATCCTGGCAAAACTTTTCACAGTGAAATATGTCAGACTGTAGAATAGTTCTCAGCAATTGTGCCTTAAAACAGATTTACTTCAGCTATGTAAAGTTATGACAGAAGACAGAAGACTTCAGCCATTCCATTTAGCAGTAATAATCAGTGTATCTTCTAATGTAATTCTGATTCATTTAAGGAGAAATGTAATTATGCACTGTACATTTCAGAAGTGTCCTCCCCTAACCCTATAAGCCTTCTGTTCTAGATAAATCTCATTTGCTTTCTTTGTTAACATCATATTTTGACGGAAGTTTGATTGTAAGAAGTTGCCTAATATCCAAATGTAGGTGTCTTCCTGCCATTTGTAGACACCCCAGCATAGCTGAGGTGTCTGCACTGGTCTAGCATATAACGACGTGGGACTTGGAAAAGACATAATTTTGGAGGTCAAGCAGAATATCCTAGGACATAGGAACTGATTTATAAAAAGGTACTAGACTTAGGCAATGGAGTCCCATTCATTAGAAAGCACAATCTGAGAAGACTGGAAATCTGAAATTTGGCTTGTTTTATTTTAAAGACTATTATTCCTCTCCAGGCATGGCATCCAGCACTCAGCGGCAGGTTCTCTTCTGGAATGGTGGTTCAGGAGGGCTCCCGACAAATGAAACTACTTTTGCCAGAATACTCTACCAGCAAGGCTACTCTACAGCACTTGTAGGTATGAGACAAAGAAAGTTGTTGCCTTTTGTTTGTTATTCTAATTAAGTTACTTCTCTAAATACATTTTTTTGTCAAAATGTCCAGGATCAGTTAAACAGTTTTTTTGTATGCATAACTTTCAAAATCAGCGGGATTTTTAGAACATTGTCCACAAGTCCAATGTGAGTACAGTGTATCTGGTAAATCCAGAATGAGGTGCATGTAATATATAAATACACACTGCAAATGGAAGTAAATTCAAAGGAAATAATCTTGTTTGCCCAGCACAGATTGCTTTAGGATGAACCAACAGAGACATTCACTCGTGTTAGAGCAGAAAAATGTCATCTGACAGTTGGCACTGAGACACCACAGTGGTCTTAATTATATCAATTTCAGCACAATGGTTAATCATATTGACTTCAGCAAGGTTTTTAACACTGTCTCTCACAACATCCTCACAGGCAAACTCTAGAAGTGTGGACTGGATGAGTGGACAGGGAAGTGGGTTGACAACTGCCTGAAGAGCTGATCCCAGGGGTTCATAATCAGTGGCACAGGGTCTAGTTGTCACCAGTGGGGTCCCCAAGGGTCAGCACTGAGCCCACTATTGTTTAACTTATTCATCATTAATGAAGATAATTAGGGGACTGAAGCATCTCTCTTATGAGGACAGGCTGAGGGAGATTGGTCTGTTCAGCCTTGAGAAGAGACGGCTGAGAGGAGACCCCTCAATACCTGTCAGTATCTGAAGGGAGGGTGCACTACTGTTCCCTAAGTCTGTCCCCATTCTACACCCACTCCTCCCTTGGCTGCACTTTAACTGAGAAATGCAGGCAGACACACCCTACTACTGGATTTAAGATCTTTGTTTTTTATTTTCAGGGAAATGGCATATGGGTGTGAACTGCAAAACCAGCCATGACCACTGCCACCATCCTTTAAATCATGGTTTTGATTACTTTTATGGCATGCCTTTTACCCTTGTGAACGAGTGTCAAGGCACAGATGACCCTGAATTGGCCAAGTCTTTACAAGAAACATATTGGTTTCATACTCAGATGATCATCCTTGCAGTATTTACTCTTGTGATTGGAAAATGTGCCAATTTATTCCCAGTAAAATGGAAAATAATAATCTGTCTGGCCATCTGTGGTCTCCTTCATTTCATCTCCTGGTTCTCCAGCTATGGTTTTACCAAGTACTGGAACTGTATCCTGATGAGAAACCATGATATCACTGAACAACCGATGAACCTACAAAAAACTACTTCTAATATGCTGAAGGAGGCAATTACATTCATTGAAAGGTAATCAGCAGAGGTGGAGCAGACTGGGGGGAGCAAGTGACACAAAGGGGTCCTGGCCAAATACTGTGCCTTCTGCCTATAGGAACATAAAAATGATCTTAGGGTGGTGAATGGACTGTCACAGAAAGTGTCATATGAAGTTAATGTTTAACAAACAGAAGAGTGAGAGTTTTAGTTTTGTGGGCTTTGGTTATTTTTTTTTCCCAAAGGTGTCCTTCATTTATTATCAGTAACCTCAATTAGAATTGAAAAAAAACACTAAGTCTTTAAAAGTGTGTTAAATCTGGGCATACCCATATTTCTGTCAGGGTTTAGGGGTAGTGTGCTTGTTTTTTAAAGGAAATTTGAGGTAATATAAATTCCTTCACTAAAACATTGAGCATAGGTAATTTCAGGTTCCTAGGATATCCTACCTGGCTTGATGTTGAAGTGATATGTTTTCACTATGGGTGATATCTGCCCCTTCCATGAGGACACTTCAGATGCTCAGTGATGCACATCCATGTTTAGGTTTAGGCAAGTGAGTGCTGTCCTCCTTGTTTTCAGGAATGTGTCAGTCTTTTCTGCACATGTCTAATTTGGAACTGGAAAAAGAAAGGATCCTTTACTCTTTTGGTCTTAACATAGAAAAAAATATCTTTGTGGGATATGTTTTAACATCTCTCTGTCTCCCAAAACCTCAAAGCCAAAAAGATGTCAAAATAAAAATTGTTTAGATCACAACAATTAAGAGAGTAACTGCAATACCATTGTTATATTTTGGGTTGAGTGACAGTTTGAAGAGAAATTACTATTGTTTTCTTTTATTTCAGAAACAAGCATAGACCATTTCTTCTCTTTGTTTCCCTTTTACATGTTCACACCCCTCTCATTACCACTGAGAAATTTCAGGGAAGAAGCAGGCATGGCCTGTATGGAGATAATGTGGAGGAGATGGACTGGATGGTGGGTAAGTGTTGGTCTTGAAGAAAATTCTTCATTCACTTGGATATAGAAAAGACATTAAAGGGTTGATCACCAGACTGCCTTTTGGCATATGTAAAAATCAGTGAATTCACCTTGGTTACACAGTTGGTTTCAGAGATTGTCATACCATAACCAAACAATACCTCTTTTTTATTTTCTTAGGATGAAAGCTTAAACTTTCCTTGTAAGGATTTATTCTTTATCTTTTTTTAAATGACATGCTTCTACACTGAAGTGTTAAATGCAGTCAAATAGCCAAATGTGTCCCTGATCATGTTTTTAATCAAAATTTGTACAATATTTCTCCAGCTCTGGTCTTAGATGTAAAGAGTTTTTGCTGAATATTAAGTTATATGATGGTTGTTTTGTGTACTTATGCATTTTTATTAAAAAAAAAAAAAAATCAATCAGAACCCTCTCCTAGCCAAAAGTCCAAGTTAGAAAGTTATGGAGTTTCACTTAAATTGTATGAAGTCAGTGAAGACTCACTTAGGTCATAATCTAGGCTCTTGAGTACTAATCAAGTTAAATTTCTGATTGGTTTAATTTGGTTAAAAACTTAAACTTTACTTAGTTTTGCTCTTTCAATGAGAAGGAGAGAGATAGCTATTGTATTTTGTCAAAAATGAAGACTCTATTAACAAAGAAATTGCCTCCTATCAAGGCCATGATTCAATTCCTGAACTTTTTTCCCCCAATAACCATGTGTACAAAATCACAATTTGAGTGGAACCTGGTTGCTTTCAATGGACAGGCTGAAAACTCCTGCAGGATCCAGTTGAACCAAAGGGCCCAGCCATGCTCCTGTTTCCTCAAGAAAGTCAAGATATAAAGAACACGTAGTTGAAACAGGATAGAAGCTAGTGAGGACAAAACTCCAGAATTGGACAGCTCTTGATTTGGTTGCAATTCAGAACCAATATACCTACACTCAATTGAAAGAATTTTTGTGTTTGGTAAGGTAAATAATTAGTTTCAGCAAGGACAGACAGGAAAGGAAAGGAACTGTAAAGTGGTGTTCAATGGCTTTTGATTTTTTCTCGTGCAGTTCTGCTTTTGCTGCTGCTTCTGTAGGTATGGAAGGTGTTTTTGGCAAATATATTTGATACAGAAGATGATGAAGACAATTAATTGAAGATAAAACACATTCTATATAAACATATGATGGGATCAGTACAAGTGACCTCAGCCACTCCTTATAAGGCTTCCCCTCAAGACCCTTCATCATCCTCATGACCCTTCTTTGGATGCTCTCTAATGATTTTATACCTTTGTTATACTGTGATACCCAAAACTGCCCCCAGCACTCGAGGTGAGGCTGCCCCAGCCCAGAGCAGAGCAGGACAATCTCCTCCCTTGCCCAGCTGGCCATGCTGTGCCTGATGCCCCCAGGACAGGGTTGGCTCTCCTGGCTGCCAGGGCACTGCTGGCTTGTCTTCAACCTGCCATTGACCGGGACCTCCAGGTCCCTTTCTGCAGTGTTGCTTACCAGCATCTCCTCCCCCCAGTGCATGCACATAACAAGGATTGCCTACTCTCAGATGCAGAATCCAGCACTCTCCCTTGTTAAACTTCACATGGCTGGTGATTGCCCATCTCTGATTTGTCAAGGTCTCTTTGTATTGAACGTGGTAGATCATAACAGAACTCACTCAGGCAAATGGAAATACTCAGTCTTCACTGAATGTGGAGTCAAGACCTAAAAAATTATTATAATGATGATGTTTTGCTTTGTTTATAGGCAGGCTTCTGGATGTTATTGACAAAGAGGACTTGAAGAATACCACATTCATTTATTTTGCATCTGATCATGGAGGATTCTTAGAAGCTCACAGAGGAAATTCTCAGTTGGGTGGATGGAATGGGATATATAAAGGTAAAATTCCTATAAAGGCATGAAACTTCCTCTTAAGAAAAGATGGAAAAATATATCCAAAGAGACTATATTAAAAAAATTACATGATGAGATTATAATATTGGATTGTAGAGCTGAAACAAAGGGCATCTGCTATTCATAGGGTTGGAGCTGAGTGGAGGGGCAGGACCACTTCCCTCAATATGCTGGCAAAGCTCTTCCTAATCCACACCTGGATACCCTTGGACTTCTTAGTCCCAAGGGCACTGCTGGCTCATGGAGAGCTCGTTGCTCACCAGGACAGATCCTTCTCTGCAGAGCTGCTGTCCAGCAGCTCAGCTCCAGCCTGTAATGGGGCTAGTCTTCCCAAGATACAGAGCCCTGCATTTGTCTTTGTTGAATTTCAAAAGGTTCCTCTCCACTGATTATCTGTGCCAGCACTGGCAGATACCATGATGTCTATTTTTCATACTACAGTTCTCCAGTTTCTCACCCACCCTATAGAAGTTTCTTCTAGACCCTCTATGACTGGCTTGCAACACAGTGACAAAAGCTCTGTGGAAATGAAGATTTATGGTATATTTTATATGTTCTTCCTCCAGATTACTAAGCCTTGAAAAGCCACTGTAACATCCTGGGCAGCTTGGTACTTACTGTATAATGAAGTTTGAAAGCTGCAGCCATTACATGTTTCCCCACAGAAGAGTCATGTGCACATTGACCTTGCTCAGCATCACAATTCACATTGTCTAGTACTAAGTTACTTGATGAGCCACACAATCAATGTTTGATACAGTTGGGATCCACCCACACACACAGTCATAAATGTAAAATTCACCTTTAGTTCTTAATATGAAGATCCCATGCCAGTTACACATGCAAAATGGCAAAGAATCTCACTTGAATAGCTTAGAATCTGATCTAAGGAATTCACCTCCACTAGGGGAACATAGTATTATTAGTATAATATATAGTATTAATAGCAGGAGAGTCCAGAGGGAAAAGACAAATGCCATTAGGACGTTCAGGATGAGAGGACAATGATGAAATCATGACTGCTTAGTGAGAAGGCAAGAGGGGATACAATATCAATTTAGATATCAATAATAGAAAGACATAACTATTTATGTCCACATACAAGGGATATGCCAGTGGGACAAACTAGCAAGATTAAAAAATACAGTTTAATTAATAAATATCTATAAAATTCACTCTTGCTATTGGGAACTGTATATTAAAAACAAGCAGATAAATAAGCCACACATAGAAATAATGAGAAGAGCCACTACTGAATCACAGTCTACTGTTTTCCAGGATTTAGTATGTTTTCATTAAAGATGCATGAAATATTCTGAAGTTTTTAAACCATTTTCTTATATATGCACAATAAACATCTGGTATCATCTATTCTTTTATATTTTTCACACTTCTCCCCCTTCTATAACAGGTGGAAAAGGAATGGGAGGATGGGAAGGAGGAATCCGTGTTCCAGGCATAGTTAGATGGCCAGGAGTGTTACCTGCAGGGACAGTGATCGATGAACCTACAAGCCTTATGGACATTTATCCTACAGTGGTTCAACTGGCTGGAGGGGCAGTGCCTCAGGACAGGTACAGAGGTGGCTTCATAAACCATATTGCTTCTCTTACTTTATTTAGACAGAAGCTGACTGTGTCATCCTAACAGCCACACATTAAACTCTCTTTGTTTCTAAAACAGGCAATTCTCTAGCTTTCTTTTTGCACAACTTTCTCCATCTTGTCTGCTTATGTGAAAAAGACAAAGAAAAAAACCCATATGTTTTATCAAGGGTCATTTAGCTAACTCAGTTCTCCTATGACTGAAAAGTAGTTTGGTTGATTTGGGACACTAGGGTGACTGAAAAAAAAACAAGACTTCTCTAAAGGACATGAGAAATTGAGGGTGGCTAAGTCATTTTAGCAAAAGAGCATAAAAGTACTGGTAAATTGTAGCTAAACACAGTTACAACCCAGACTGCAACTGAATTGCTAGGAAATTCAGTAAGTGGCTTCTTTTTTTATTATTATTTTTATACAGTCTGGAGGTCACAGAGCTGTCAGAGATTTCCATTTCAGGTGGCAAAATTAAAACCTGTGAACTATGCCTTCACTATTGTTATCACTTCCAGGAAAATTACATAATGGTGACTGATCTCCCTAGGCAGGATGTGTGAACTAGCTGTAAATGCAAAAACTTCTAGTAACTGTTAATTACTTGTCACCATACATTCACCCAATTAAAAATCTCAGGGCTCATTAGCTAACCAGTACATTGGTTTAGTGATGACACTTGAAATCTTAGTGCTGAACACACAGAGTACTGCTCATGCTTCAGCTGCAGACTTTAAATTCTTAAGCTGTCTGGTGACTCTGGTCCTCTCCATCAGGGTCATGGATGGGCACACCTTGCTGCCCCTGCTGCTGGGGACAGAGCAGCACTCCAGGCACGAGTTCCTGTTCCACTACTGCGGTGTGTTTCTGCATGCAGTGCGCTGGCACCAGAAGGACAGTGAGTACAAACATCCCCCTCCTGCGGGTCAGACATGATGTAATGTCCTCTAGCTTCCAATGGAATATCATGTAGAAATGTACATGTATATACAGATATATATATATATGGAATGTGTTCACTGCCTCAAATTTCCTGTTCTTCTGCAACACCTCATTGTTAGTTGTCCTGCCTTGCCTGAGGTGAAGGAGTTTGCTTCCTGGGAAGTAGACCTTCAACAATCTCTCACTATTCTTAGAGATCTCTCTTTGTTTCTCGATAGTGCACACCATATTTTGTGAACACAGAATGTTTCTGATCAGAGAGAGCTGTGTCTGACTGCCCCAGTTCCTGCATATTTCTGCTGGAAGAGTCATGCCACACTTCCTTAGTGAAAGGCTAAATTCATACTCCAATCACATGGGACATTTGCAGAATTTCTTTTCAGGTTCTCCTGATGTTGTCCTTACCTAAATTGCATTGCTTGTTCTTCTAAGCTATGTAAGTTCTACTTCAGTAGCTATGCATACAACATGCAGATGCAAGGTGGATTTGGTGGCATTTCATGTTCTTATGAAGCCACGTGCACACCTAGATTTCTTATGCAGGACTTGCTAAAACTTTTCTCATCGAACTGTTTATGGCAAGGGGCCAGAAAACAATGCCATGTTTTGCATACAAAAGACCAGCTAATCAAATACGTAGCTCAGCTTTCAGTCAGGCCAAAAATTCTGATTCTTTTTTCTAGCTGTAATTTCTTCTGACTGGGCTGAGCAACAGTCTGTTTTAGTTCATTTGCAAGTATGTCACCCTCATATTACATATTTATTATCTGTTAACATCTTGATCAGCCTAGACACAAAGCCATTGTGTCTTGATGTCACCCAGGCAGGACCTATCCTTTGAGACCTTCACTGAAGTCAGAAGAATCCTTTGTTTATATGTTAAAGAGTCCTTTCCTTTACCTCTGCACCATGAGCCTTATTAGTGACAGTCCATTACTTTCTGCTAATTAAACTGATTGATTGTTACGAGAGGGGTTTGAGACATGTTTGGAATGAAGCAGCAGGATTCCTTTCTCTTGGATATATTAAATTAACACGTTGTCCTAACATGCACATGCATCCTTCAGATTCTGTCAGAGCTACCTCAGTAGCAAATTGTATATCCCTCTTTGCCCCTTGGGGATCAGTAATGCGTCTCTTGCTTTTATCACCACTAATTTCAACTACCTTTTTTTTCCTTTTATCCTTCTGTAACCCAGCTGTCTACTCAGCTCACCAATACAGGTTAATTAAAATCAGCCTTGCTCTATCCTTCAAAGTGAGCTAACAAGGACTTATCTGTCTCCTACTCTGCAACTCCAGTAATTATTTGCAGCTGTGAAAAGGGAAAGTTAAAATTTAGAATCAGAAAAATTCTCCCCAGACACTCTACACTCACTACTCCAAATTGCCATACAGACTATAAATTATAAAGAATTCACCTAACTTATTTGTGGAAAAGAATGATTACTTCAGTTTTTCTGAGTGCTGATCACAATTCCTGTGTACATCTGGATAAATCTATCTGTACATCTCATATTTAACTAATAAACAGTTATTTTAGCAATATCACAACAGCACTCCAACCAGAGCCAGATACTCAGAAAAAATGCATGTCCCAGAGAGTGCTTGTTTAATTCCTTGCAAAAAATATCTATACTACCTGACCAACAGACATAAGAAGCAAATCCCATGCTCTGGGCACCCCTGATACCACAGAGGATGCTTGCACTTCCGTCATGAGACAAACATTCTTTTAGTAACAAGACAGGGATAAGCTTGAGGATGCAGAGGACATCCAGCCAGCAGCAAAGCAAATACTCAAGGAGTATCAGCCCTTGTAAGGTGTCAGAAAGTTGAAATATTTTATCTTTATTTCCTGATCCATGATATTTTGAGCTGGAAAGGGCCCATAAGGATCATCAAATCCAACTCTTAAGGAAATGACCCACCTGGGGATTGAACCCACATCCTTGCCTATAGCACTACCATGCTCTAGCCCTTTTTCTTTCAGAAAACATTGTTTTTCCCTTCTTTCACAATTTCAGAAATTGAGATATCAAACATTCATCCTCATTTTCTTACACCAAAACATTTCAGAACCATTGAGAGAGCATCCCTCTATAAAACCTCTATAAAAGCACAGCTGCAGGATGTGGAAAATGCGTGGTGAAAATAGAGATACAAACCCAGCCAGCTAACCAGCAATGGGATATTTTAATATAAGATATTACCTAAACTTTAATATCTGTTATTTGTTCCCCTTCACCTTTTAAGAAGTTTTTAAATTTATTTATTCACAAAATACTGTTCTAGCATACTGACAAGAGAGAGACTGGAATAAAGCTGCAGGCTTCAGACATGAAGAAGAACGCTGGACACAAGAGAAGAAAGGAAGAAAAAGTTCAGCTGATTCCATTGTACCAAAAAGAAAATTCCATGTAGGGACAATGCAGCTGTCAACTCTTTAATGCTTTGAGCACAGAAGTGACTCCAAGCTGTGAATGTCCCCTTTCTTCTTGTCTCCTTTTTCAGACATAGTGTCTAATTGCTGTCCTCTTGTTGGGCACATCCTGGCTTCTGAGTTCAGTGTAGTGCTTTCTAAATATGGGGTAAGGAACAGGAGAAAAAGGAGGAGGGAGGGAGAAGTAAAATATCCTGATGAACTGCATTCAGCTGTAGTCCTAGTAATTTACCACTTTTTCACCACAAGTTACAAACCTGCACTTATCCCATGGTCAGTACAAGAGTTTGATAAAGTACAAGCTCTAAAGCTGTGAACTATTTGCCTTCTTCACTTTAACTTAAAAGCTAGAGTCCAGATTTTACTGTTTTAAAGGCCTGCAATTAACCTGCACCCTTTCTGGAAGTGTGCTGGAATATGAGCAGAAAAATAAGATGTGATCAGTTTCTGCCTAAATGTACTTCTTCACTCAGACAGTGAAGAAGAGCCTGAAGAAGAGCCACCTATCAATATATACACACAGAAATTGGGGACTGCATTCTCCATTTCCTCCCCTCCAAGAGGCATGAAAATTTTTAAAGGGAAACAAGAAAGTGGGAGACCCATTGTACTGCAAACATTGGGCTAACCATCCATATACTGCACATGGTTCCCAGAGCCAAGGTGTACCCATGAGCCACAAAAACCATTTGAGTTCCTGCCACCTTTTCCCTGTACACAACAGCCATGACATAAGCTTCCCCTTGGAACAACAAACATGAACAAACATGAACCAAGCTTTCAGGGACCACCCACCAGCTCCTAATGACATTAAGCTGTTTAAATGTGATTCTTCTGTGACAGGTGGCACCGTATGGAAAGCTCATTATGCTACTCCAGTGTTTCAGCCAGAAGCTTCTGGGGCCTGCTTCAGAAGAGGAATTTGTCCGTGTTTTGGGGATGGTGTAACCCATCATGACCCTCCACTGCTGTTCAATCTCTCACAAGATCCATCTGAGGCAAATCCTCTATCAGCAGACACTGAGCCCTTGTTTGACACTGTAACAAGGAGAATAAGGAGAGCTGTGGAAGAGCATCGCAAGACACTGACTCCAGTCCCACAACAGCTGTCTCCTTACAATAACAGATGGAAGCCATGGCTGCAGCCATGCTGTGGGACATTCCCATTCTGTTGGTGCCATGAAGAAAATAACAAAGCATAGTCTAATACCAAAGTCAAAGTACAGTTAGCTTTAAAGAAATTCATAATTTTTCACGTTCATGTGACTACAGTCATAAAGAGATTAGAGATAAAGATTAAATTATAATAGAATAACTAAAAGGGACATTATTAGTCCCTTAATTAGTGATCAATTAAATTAATTAAATTTAAAATCCCTGTTAGTGATTGTTTTTGTTCAACCTTTTCTCTTACCCACAGAAATTAAGTAAGCCTGTGGTTTAAAAAAAGATTAGGGGTCATCTGTATAATCTATCCCTGAAGTGAATAATTTAGGATTAAATACCAAATAAATGAAACAAAATTTATTTTCTTACTGACTTACATTCCAAGCAAATGATGACTGATAAAAAAGTAAATTTTTACTAGCAGATGTTTATACAGAAAATATGCTTGTTGAGAGAACAGGACTGAGCCCAAGAGGGTAGGCCTATCCAGGCCTTATCTATTAAATGAAAAAACCTGTTGCACAAAGATGAAAGGATGATGACAATGAAAAAAATAATGAAAAATAAAATTGCACATTTAATTTGGAAATAAACCAATATGCATCAGAAACAAACACCTACTAATTTACAGCAATTTTATGCTTTATCATCTGTATATTTGTCTGTCATGTAAGAATTCCCAGGGAAAACTGAACTGACAAGTATGTTTTAAAAATTAGATAGCTGAAGTTAGTATCTCAAGATCAGCAGCAAAGTGCCTAGCTATTCTGAAATGTTAAACCACAACAATTCTTACTGAAAAGTGTTATCCACATATTTAAGTCATCTCACTTATGAGAGCATTGAAATCATCACCCTGCTGCCTTGCGAAGATTGCGAAGCTGAGAATGCTTGGGACCCATCTGAGACCAGTTCATTAAGCCTACGTGTCCCACTTGAGTGACAATGCATCTGATTTCATAATGCCCCATGAAAAATATTCTTTGTTTTGTCAAAAAACACCTTGTTTTCAGCAGGAGGTGGTAAAAAATTTTACCTCACAGAATAATCGCTTCTGTGTCCAGGTCATCTTCCCCAAGCCAAAAAAGTGCCAGCACTCTGTACAGTTATTACAGAAAGGGAGGGAATTAAAATATCTAATCCTCTCTTGCTGCCCTTAGTTTAAATAAATTACTCTCTCAAGATATAATCCCAACCATGGTCTTGCATGGATTTTGTGTCAAATCAGATTTTCAAATGGAGGTTCCCATAATTTTTCCTCCCCCCAAAAAGTAGATTGTGGGCAAGAGACTCTGAGTCAAACTTCTAAGTCTTCCTGAACACTGTAAATTCAACTCCTACTAACAGTCACTCAGGCTTTAAAAAGTAACAAGGGGTGGTAAGAGCTGCAGAGCAGGTACTTTAGGTGGTATTTCTTTGCTTGCTGTCTTGGGGAGCCACACCAGTGCAGCTCTAGTCAGGACCAAGGTAACCTGTGTGTCATTTTTTTGCCTTTTGGAAGCAGGAAGAGACAAGAAGGCCCATAGCAGGTCTCTCTCTCAGCTCCTGATCTGCCACAGCAGGTCCCTTTCTGCAGCTTTGGGACAGAGGAGAGTGCATGTATGGATTATACACCCTTTGCAGTGTTTCAGGGAACCTCCCAGCTCACACCTCCAGTGTGCTGGGTCAGAGGTGTAGTGAGTTGCTGCTGTTTAAACATCATAGGTTGTGATCATGATGCAGCACCAAATACAAGTCCCAAAAAAGCTGACCAGGCATTTCTCCAGGTTATTTGCCATTTCATCTTTTCTCTAAAAGGTCACCAAGAAAGTTATGTGGAAAACATTCCACATAAATCATAGGGCATGCATGAAAATGACCTGATTGGATACCTCAATGCCACACTTAATAGAAATATCTCAAAATGTGTTTGTTCTCACTTTTGATAGTGTTTAAATCTGCCCCAGCATTGCCACACTCTTGTCAGATTTGACACTTTTCTGTGGCTAACAAGGACTGAAACCAGAGCAACTGCATTTCACTGGATTCATGCAGGGAGAAAAGAGCATAAAAGATCACACATTTTAAAGCCAGTTTGGCTGATTCAGAGATGGAGATAAAATCCTACTGCTCGGTGGGGAACAAAGTCAAAAGCTGTCAAGCCAGTCAGTTCAGTAGCATCTACATTACCAGTTAAGTACAAGGCTAAGGTTTTCTTTCTCAGTTCACTTCACTGGATTCCCCACTCACCTACTCCAATCATTAAGTTAGGTATCAGGAAAAAGTTTTTCACACAGCAGGAGGCTGAGCACTGGAACAGGTTCCCCATGGAAGTGGCCACAGCACAAAGCCTGCCTGAGTTCAAAAAGCATTGGGACAATGCTCTCTGGCATATGGCGTGGCTCTTGGAGCATCCTGCACAGGGCCAGGAGGTGGACTCAGTGATCCTGCTGGTCCTTTCCAACTCAACACGTTCTATGACTTACACACAAGAACATGCCCAGTCCCACACTTGGCCATGATGAGAGCATTTACCAGAGGATGGGACAGTGTTCAAGCACCCACTCAGCTTGCAAGCATAGATCCAAACTTTAGGAAACCAGACTAGGAAGGCCAGTACTTCAGCAACACTCAGAACTCCATCTCCAAACACAGTGTGAAAAAAATCACCCTGTATAAATGTAAACATTAAACATTTGTCTTACACCTCGTTCCTCTGAAAATTAAATTTCCTGAACTGCTGTATAGAGTCAGATGCTAAAGAGTCATGTAGATATCCACACTGCCTTTCTGACATCCAAACACAGATAAAATTATCTTGGATGGCATCTGTGGAAAACTAGAGGCGCTTTCAGGCAGGAGGAGGAAAAATTAGGGCTGACAGCATAGAGAACCAGCTTTTGTCAACTGTTAAGAGGCCTCAGCCAGGCACAGGGAAAAGTGCTTTTCCCACACAGAGAGGGAGAGGGCAGACACTGCACATAGATGATCTGCAGGCGAGAAGTAGAGCAAAGTAATGGGAAATTGCTAAGTAGGATGCACACCACTTCAAAAAACAGGGGGAGAGGAGAGAAAACTATTTTCACTCCTAAGTTCCTCTCACTGTCTAAAGCTAAATGTATCTTAAAGCGTACAGATTTTGAGGAGACAGTGGTAAGCAGGAAAAGGAGGTTAATTATTTTACCTGTTTCATGCATATCCTAGCCATGGTTTGGTTGCAAATCTCTGTCTGTATACACTTTCAGAAGAACATGTAAGCTCTGCAGAAGCTGTTCTTCTGATCTTCTGGAAAATGTATATTTCCCGTAAAGCAGATGAACGCAACATCACACTTGAGTTGTCCTCATGAACCCTTTCATATAAAATGCATTAATAGGCAAAAAATCTGTCACAAAATCTTCTTGAATAATACTGGAAGGATGAAACTCTAAATCAATTCCTTAGGTATCCTTGAAAAATCATCTATGATATTTCTCAAAATATATTATTAGAATAAAGCCTAAATTGGATGCTTTCTCCCTTCTTTTCTAATGGTTTCCCCCTTTGCAGAAAGGTACAAGAACTACATAAAATGGCCTGTTGGGAATACCTGAGACAACTGGCCAATCTCCAAGCCATTGTTAGCTATACAAGAATATGCCTACACATGGTTTAATATAGACACCATAGAGAGGGAAGTATTAGCCTGCAACAAATGAAGTTTGTTTTACTGAAAGAGCTGTGGCTGCACTGTGTAAATGTTTGACATTCATGTTGTATGAAGCTGACTTCCACTTAACTCCTTTGATCATTTTAAAATGACATTTAGAATTGTTGCATTAGACTGACTCAACAGAGCAATTGTCAAGTCTCACAGGAGTGAGACAATAAGCTCCTGAGAAGCCTCACTTCACCGTGTTTAAATATTAGACACATTGCTTTGCTCCCTGCTGGGACTCAAGGGAGTGCCAGCACACAGATCACAAGATCCTGTCTTCTAAAGAAGCAAAATTGTTGTGTAGCAAATAAACTGAGAACGGTAATTTGAGCTCAAAAGTTATCCAGGTTCATTCCTAAGATTCCTAAGAACTCTGAGTACCCTGAGAGGAATTTACATAAATGACCAAGGAGAAAGAAAAAAACTTTTGCTCATGACAGGTTGTAGGTTAAAATACACACACACACAGGCATACACATAGTGTTGAACTCAATAAGACACTAGAAGATTTTTGTAGGGTGTTTTGATTGTTATGTTAAATAGAATCAACTCCATTAAAAAAATGAGATTTATTCAAAACCTAGTTTCTTATTGAATTACCATACTATTGCATCACTTAAATTTTTTGAATGCCAGAAAAGAAAGCTTAAAAAACAAATTGCAACTCCCCATGTTGAGATAAATGAGGTTACTAGAGGATCCAAACAACCCTGGCTTCTGCTCTGGCATTTGTCTAAAAGCTGTAAGTAAAAGGTTTGGAAACAGAAAGAATTAATGAGGTTTGAAAAGAAGAAAAAAAAAAAAAAGCCTCTAAACTAAACAGAGCGTAAAACAGGTGCCCATCCATGACATATGATTAGTTTTGTTCCAAGTATCTAATCCTATGAGAAGGCTCTGAAAATCTTACTGCTCTAAAATAAACAAATTTTCTGTTTAATGCATTTATCATTGTTCAGAATGATGCACTGTGGCATAAAATTGAACAAACGCTTCTCCAAGGCAGTTAATGTTATGCCATCCTGAAAAGTATTAAAATTACCACAACTAGGAGACTGGCTGTCTTGGAATTTTAAAGTTTTTATACCTCTAGTTTGTTGAAAGGGTTCTGACAACAGTCAGAGTAAAATTCAATAAAAAAGTTCTTACAACTCTATTTTTTTTTCTTTATTAATATAACTCTCAGTTTTCTAGCAACTATTATTTATACATTTAAGTCAATTATATATTATTGTATTTTTTAGCTACCTTTGCTATAATTATGGTATAATGTTATTAGAAACCAAAAGTTTACCAGGATGAAAAATATAACTTGAGTGTCACACCTTTTAATTTTTAGCTCAAAAGAAACTATTTATAAACCACCCAACTCAGCATAAACAGAATTTTAGCTGAAACATTTTGCAACCAATATACTGACAATGCAGACTACTTCAATGAGCAGTCTAAACTGGAACGTATTTTTGGAGGCTATTTAAGAATTCACTACCATACATTAAATCTCATATATTGGGTTGATAAAAACCAACCAACCAAACAAAAAAAACCAAATCAACAAAAATTCAAACCACATAAATAAAATCCCAAAATAATGAAAAGAAAACGTGGGGGGGAGACTGGAATGTGAGATTTGAATTAATGAGATAAGAATTAAGAAAACAGGAACATTTAATGTTATGTTCAAAGTCATAAGAATCAAAGCAGTTTAGATTAGGAAAGCAACTGAACCAGATCCATTAAGGAATAAATAGGCATAGTGCAGACTTATTGGTGAACAACAAGCTGTTTATAGCAGCACACAAAAGTATCAAACACCTGCTACTAACCCAGCCTCCCATTCATGGATAGAAAAATCAAGGTGTAGAAAGCCAAACAAAACAAAGCATTTTTTCAAGTGCCAGCTTTAGAAAAGCCAGTGTTGTGAGCTGACTGATACAGAGAGACAAAGAAAACTTATTTTGAAAGAACAACCCAGATGGAAATGTCCTCACAAAGCACTAGGCAGTAAGTCAAGTGATATTTCAGGAAAACCAATGTCCTTTTCCCGTAGGCTAGGAAAGTGCATTAACCCACATGTCTAAAATTTTCAAGAATTTCCCTTGTGGCACACCCACACTATCTCCTTCTTTTACATGAAGAGCACCCAATAAAATTGTTGTATGGCAAATAAAAGCTCTGAATAACTCCAAGCACATGACAGAAGAATCAGCATGTTTTGTTTTAAACACAAGTTGTCCTTTCTAAATACAAAGTCTACAACAGAAAGCCGTAGTCTGGCCTTGTTTAAAGATGAATAGTGCCACCAAAAATCTTACATTTCTTAACTTTCTTTACCCTAAAAATACTCGAGGCTATACCACAGTTAAATATGCAAAAAGAATTCCAGGTGAAGCTAGGTAGTTGTTTTTTTTTTTCTCCTCAAGACACATTTTGACTTAGCAAACCTCGGTGCTGTGGCTCATGGCCACATGCATCCCCTAACGCCCCTCAGACCTGCCTGTGACCTCAGGACTTCAAAATAATGGCCATAAAAGCCCAGAATGCTGCCTGAAGCACAGCACTGCATTCACATAAAAAATTGTCCCTTTTCACAGCCCGCTGGCAACAGTTGTGTGCTAGAAGCACTACAACACTACATTACCAATAACTAGTTCAGTTTTTTGTGTGTGAAGACAGGACACAAAAATTAGGGCAGGGCTTTTAACAGCTATACTTTTCCATGAAATACAATAAACCAACTACTGTTTGCCAATTCAAGAGATCCTAAACATCATAATTATGCATATCTGTAGAAATAATCATTACTCTCAACTTCTAATTCTGCTCAGCACGTAATGCTAGCATCCCAAAAGCAATTAAATAAGATTAAAAAAGAAATTAAAGTAACTAGTTATTCACAAGTAATATTCCCTGGCACAATGTAAACAACCTATAGCTCTTCATCATCTGATAAGCACGTCTTCATATGTCTTTTCAATTTCTTTTATTTCCATTACATTATTGTACTACAATTCTTTGCAAAACATTGTATAAGCCACACCGAGTACCATTGTACATATTAACAGTCTGAAATGTACTCAGTCATGTATTTGATTACATTCATATGCATATTTTTAAAAACCTTCAGTTGCTGATTTCACATCAGTAATTTTTCTTACATAATCTAATCAGTGTACCAAATAAGTAGTTAATGTAAAAAGCACAGCTGTATGAAGCATGAGTTCACATTGCTGACTACAGCTTTATTTAGTCTTCAAAAGCTATTAGGATTGTATTAGCCATGATATTTATAAAGCAGAGGACTTTCTCAGCAGTGCACGAGGATCACTAAGAAACAGGGATAATCAGAAGATCAAATGCCAGGTGAGTGAAGGTACACTGCAGCTGTCATCTCCACCTGCTGCACTGGGCCACAGCACCAAGAGGTAGAATACACCCACCTGTGTTAAAGTGTGAAGGTCACCTACCCAGGAACACGGGCTATAGAGGGTGCCAAGGTTAGTCAGAGAGAGAACTGTTCTCAATTTCTCTGCTGCCCTTAAACACCTAACTTGACCTAGAAGATTGTATTCAACAGACACAACAATAGGATTCCCCATTTAAGAGCTTAAGGGTAAATGAGAACTAGATAAAATCAGAAGTATTCTACAAAAGTGAAAGCAAATCCATTAATGTGAATATTACAAAGTAATTCTAAGATACTCAAAAGTACTTTTTTTTCTTCTTTCAAGGGACCTTTTGATTCTTTCATTCCTTTCCTGATTTGTGCACTTATTCCCTGCCCCACATTCTCATCCTTTTTGATGGAAGAAAAAAGAAGTAAAAATTTTTTCTTCCCTCCTATCCTGCCATCCTTTTATCCTGCTAGCATCTGTGCATAATGGTACACCATTGCTTTTAGACAGAATTCCCAAAATGTTTCATTAGGTGTCTGTCTGCCAAAATTCGTGATGTATTTAAACCAAAATATTTCAAGTCCTGCAACATCACTGCAGAATTCTTATTCCAGTATTGAGCTAGGTTACAACTAACTGTCAAATATATTATTATATTAGCATAACTGTCATGACTCTTTATTTAACAGTTTTTTGCTTTGAAAAAAGTATTTTACTTGTTTGTTAAAACAAAGTCACTGAGATGAGTCAAGTACCCAAATACAAAAATCATTCCCCCATAAGTGTCCTTAATATAAAGCAGTCTCATCAGTAGATTTTCTTCTGGAATTATCCTCAGAGATTTATTAGTTCCCACACACAGCTATTGTTTAAGAGATCTTCAAAGGGCCTGTTTATTAAAACAAGTACCAATTTTGCTTTCAGTTGCACTCAAATTGCCTTCAGTATGGGGCAGTAATGGTAAGCCAAAGAAGGCCTTTTGCAGCTGCAGTTTGAAGTACTGTAAACAAGTTTATAAAAAGCACCAGAAGGTTTACACCATGCTGTCAGCATTTCTTCTCCTGACCACACAACTCAGAATATGCAACTAAAGCTTACAATATTTAAAAAAGCATCAGTATCCTATGGCAACAATATAAAAGGTTAGCATACATTATCACTTTGTTTTGAAGAGTTTTAAGCCACACTTCCTCACACTTGCTATGGAACTGAGCAGCTTCCTATAAGTAGGTAGAGCATCCACCAGTGATCTCAGATGGACTCTGAAGTTCCTCTAATTGTGTCTAAAATGTGTTTAAATTAAAAAGTTTTATTGCAGACTCCTATGAAGTCAGCTTTTTATCACTTCTTTCCTGAATTGAAGCCTACATCACAGTTACTCTTGAAATTTGTGTAAATTTGGTTTCAACAATAAGTTCTTTTTATTTAAATACTTTATAGCAACTTCTGGAAGTACTTTGGGAATAATCTCAATTTGGGAAAAGTCCAACTTCCAAAACAATTTCAATTTCCAACATGTTTCCTACACATGACTGTTTCTGCAGAATGCAGATGGTACACCAGGGAAGTGTGATAAATACATGAGAGTTCATACTCAGAAAGGTACCATTCATTATGCTTTAGAAGGCACTGTGTGAGTACAATGAAGATGAGACACATGTAACAATAAAGTTGAGGCACATTTATCAGTTAAAAACCAAGATTCTGTATCTTTTAAGGTCCTCCAAGAATGTATAAGGATCCATAAGAACCTCTAACTGGTGTCAGCTAAACTGGTTAAGCCAAGTATTCATGAATTGAATTATAAAAACAATCTATCACGATGGGCATAACAGTACACCCCGTCTTAGTGTAAAAATGCATCCAATTTCTTTTTTATGTGTTCAAAAGCATCTTTCCCCATATAGTCCATGCGCCCTTCCTCCCATTTTCTCCGCTCGTCTTCTGGAGTTGGTTTTGCTGGTTTGAAGTGAATAGACAGCTCTGAAACAGAATGTGCAACCTCGTTCTGTGGGAAGAAAAAGAAGAGTGAGAAAACAGTCATTTGGCTGTTCTTATTTCAATATTGTGAAGTTAAACCTTAAATGATAAACTTCACTGTACACTCCCAGTTAAAACAATTAAATAATCAATATTCAAACATTCATTCCTGTTTTAATAATGTGACCTTATTTTCCCACGGTTTTAGTACTTTCTATGACATCATTGAATATACCAGATCTTGGCATACTCAGCAACAATACAGTGAAAATATTAAAATACTGACTGGTTAGAGTAGAATATCTGCTACAATAAAGAATTTACAATTTATCTGTTTAAATCTTGTCTCCAATAGGCTTTCATATTAACATGCATTTCTAGAATTTTTGGCAATTTATTTTATTTGAACACCAGTGAGATCAGAATTATTTAGCAGATGTCAGACACCTAGTTCATTAAATTAATTCAAAAGATGGACACTATTCATTATACCAACAGCTGGTTCATTTTGAGTGACACTCCAAAATTGTAAATGCTGGTTCAAAGTCACATCATCATAGGTGCACAAATGCAAGACACATTATTAGTGATAATTTCTACCACATAAAAGAAAAACTGTGTCTGCAATTGACCAATGACAGCAAAAGGGGAACATCCCAACAATTATAATCTGTAATAAAGATGAGCTGCAAGGACTAATCAAGGCAGCCACTGAAAACCTGCTTTCAGTGGTACTCTAAGATGCTCATAGGAGAACACGTCATACTATAAACAAAACTGAAATCGACTATAACAGCTTTCTAGCGAAGCTCTCACAAATTCAAGGTAAAACCATTTCAGAATAGAATTAAATGGGCAGGAAACAATGTCTGAAACTGCCTAAATTCCCTGGAAAATCCATTACTCTGCCATTTTGGGGCAGATAAGGCACAGGATTGTGCAAGACAAGGTAACCTATTTCAAACAGCCAAAATGCAGTAAGGTGTGAAGATTCCTTTCTTTATCATTGGCAAGATTTATCAACAGCTACCAAGACTTTATTGAGACTACCAAAATCATCATGTTTTTAGAAATTAAGAATTTTAGCTTGGGCCCAAACACCCCTGACTACACAGGAACAACAGGTTTTTTTCTCAGTCTTAAGGTATTTCACCACAGTGTTTCAGAATCATACAAAAGCCCTCATTCGGAAAGTGTCTGTGTTGCGTACCTTACAAATCCTCGACGCCAAGTGTGCCCACATGTGCAAGTGCAAATAAATACAGTGCAAGATCACAAAGGAGAGCCTAGTCACTCAGGCTCCTGCACATTCCCTTTCCACTTGCTTGGAAACATCACTTCAGCAGGTAAAAAAGCCCACAACAAAACAAAACAGAGCTAACAAACACAAAATACCCAAACAGCTTTGCTTGTGTTAATATTGGAGAACTAAAATTAACAGCATGCACTGACTACTCAGGGGTTAGCACAGGAAAATAGACATTTAAAAACTCAAAGTTTTGAAAAGAAAACTAGAAAGGGATCACAACACAGTATTAAGTTAAGGAATTACACGGCTAAAAGATTAAGGAATTTATTTGCACATTGCATTAAAATTAGTTGAGCTTTCCCAAAGTTATATTGGCAGCAAAGATGTACATGCAGCTATCAATAGATGTTCAATGCACAAAGCTACATGTACCATTTCTGAGGTTTCCTGAAATGCAGGTTGAAATACAGGTTGTTCTGAAGGTCTGTCAGGCTCAGAGAGATGCACGTTAGAATCTCTTGGTTCGACTTCATACACAGGTTGCTAAAAATACAGCCACTGAGGTTTTATTAGGAGAATATTTTATCATAATTTCTTTTTCATGAGAATTTATACATTACAATAAAATCACTTTCAGTCTTGGGGTAGGGTAAAGCAATGGATGGGGAGAAAGCAAGGAAACACATTATCACCAAGGAGAAAATTCCTGTCACCCAGCTTTAGCTATCAAAAATGTCACTGAATCAAAGCTCCTACTATAATCAATCTAGGATAATTACCTCCAGAAGGCAGCTCATCTCATCCTAAAACTAGTTCAAAGTACTGTCATTTTTCAGCAACTACACATCCAGCCTGAATGAGGCCAAACTTCAACAAGAAAAATCCCATTTCAGGATATTAGCTTGCTCTCACATAAGCTTTTTATATGCATGAAATAAGAAGTATTCCAAAACAGAGGTAAAATATATTATCAAAAAAATATTGTCCCAACTATTTGCTTTTGACAGACAACAAAACATAAATTAGTAGAAAGACCTCATTCTAGAGTCTTTCCCCCCAAAACAATCCCACAAGACTATTGACACTGAGCAACAAAAAGTGGAGCAATGGTATTCTTAAGTAAGAAGGGAATCAGGCTATTACTTTCCAATTAATATGGTCTAATAAGCCAATCCTAGTAATCAAAATAGTAATAGAAATTTATATTTTAATGAAACTACTGTAGGTGAACGTTATGATTTTTTTACCCCAAACAAACATCTTGATAACGTGTCCCTCTGTAGTTTGAGCCTTTCCAGTGAAGTCAGATGCATAAGGCACGCAAGAAAATACACTCTTTGAAAATAAATTATTCTTAAGTTATGGAACTTCAGCCCCTTCACACTCAGAGGGGAAAGGGAAGAAGGGAGAGGAAAGAGGGGAATAAGGGAATACTTTATAGAGTAACTATAGTCTAAAGAAATGAAGGAAAGAACATCTTAAAAGTTGTCTTCATCGTTCTAGAGTGTAGTTCACAAATTACTATGCAGATGACATTAGAACACTATTTTTTTTTTCTCCCAGTTGTACCATGGGGTAGTATGGTTTATCACCCAATATGTAATGACTTACACCTGCAGAGGCATTGTGCTATTCTCTCCAACTTAATTCTAGCATGCAATAAGGAGATTCAGTGCAACAGAAACACACAAATACAAGAAAAGTGACAAAAGAAGCAGAAAGACTGCAATATTCATTAGTGGATTTTTTCAACACTCTCCTTGTTGCTCAAGTCACAGAAATTTGTGGAACAGTTTGCTGGGTCAACACTTGTGGGAAAAAAACTTTCTACAGAGGAATGATAGAAAGGATTCTAGTTTTAAATATATTAATTCACAAAAGTATTAATATTCAAAATATTACTTTGGTAGCAGATTTTTTTTATATTACATTTGATTAAGTACTTAACAACTTTGAATAAATAACCTCTTCCTAAAATGCAAAGCAAACTCTTTCAACTTCCAGACACATCATACATGCATTACTAGAGATTAAAGAAAATACGTAGGCTTTAGATTATTTTTAATGCTAGTGAGAAAATTCAATAGGTACTGCTAAATTGAAGGTATGATCTTCCAGATCAGAAGTATAATGAAAGAATCTCCTTTGACTTTGTTACTGCATATAATAATACACAACACACTCACAGCTTTGAAAGTGAGTTCCTCAGCTGAGCATGCTGTGGGATTTACTTCATTTGTCTGCTCTGGGAGCTCAGGCTTTTGCAGAGAACTGGCCACGTAAGAACTGACCTTCTTCAGGGTAACTTCAACTCCATTGAAAGCATGCTAATGAAAACAAGAACATCTTACCACTGAAATACAATTTTTCAGGACAGTAATAAATCATTTACAATAGTTGCACTTCCTCACAGGGTTTTCACCATTAAAAGAACATTTTAATACATGCAAAAAAAAGTATATGGTCCTAGATTCAGAGCATGCTGCAATTTAGGTTTTTGCTTTTTTGCACTCATGAGTACACCAGCACCATGAAGTAAATCCAACAGGTATTTCTACCTTCATTTAGCATAGTTGAAATATTTCCTTAATACTCAATGACTTCAAAATTAAAGCATGTTAAAGTATAAGATCAAAAACTACCCATTCCTTCCTCTGCTTTCCAATTTGCCATGAGGTTAACAAGTCAAATTATTCTCAGAGGCTTTGATGGTAAATATTCAACTGATCTTATGGGACTATGCAATTAGTTAAATTATGCTAATAATTTAATATTACAAAACATTAAGAAAACATTTACATATGCATAAATAGGAACTAATTTGTCGTGTCTGGGTACAAAATTTAAAATTGTACTTCTATACATTTCTTCATGCTACTGGTTTCTAAGAAATCATCTATTTACAAACAGATGGTTTTTATTCTGTTCATGAAAAGCACACATTGTTGCATTTCCTTTGAAGAAAAAAAAGCATAGAGTCAGTAAATGTCTGATGACATAGGAGTACTATACATAACATCTTAAATGCAATTAACACTGCTTTTGCAAACCTGATTTATTTGTTATGATGCCATAAAACAAGTTATAATGTAGTTCTGAAAAAGTAAATTTTATTACAGTTCAAGATCTAGTTTGATGGTCTATATCAATTTAGCTACAAGAAAAACAAAAGTCTGATTGTTTCCTGGACCAGATTGCCCCTTCTCTGGCTAATTTTTGTCATACTTTTGTATGCACATACATTACCTAAAAACTTTATCAACAAAGAAGATGGCTGCAGGATATCTTTGGACAGCAAATAGTACTAGAAATCCTTCCTAAGTGGCTACTTTGGTACTAGCAATCAGTGCTACTACCAACCAAAAGACCCTAAGTTTTCCCACACATATTGGGATTGCATGGCAAGATTTTGGTAGCAGGGTGATTTCAGGAGTAGCTTCTGTGAGAAGCTGCTAGAAGCTTCCCCCAAACCCAATGGAGCCAATGCCTGCTGGCTCCAAAATGGACCTGTCACTGGCCAAGGCCAGCCCCATGGGTGATGGTGGTGGTGCCTTTAGGATAAGAGATTTAAGAAGGAGGAAGTGCTCCAGGTGCCAGAGCAGAGATACCCCTGCAGCCCATCATGCACCAGGATGTCCTCCTGTAGCCCATGGAGGTCCATGGTAGAGCATAGATCCAGCTGCAGCCCATGCTGGACCCCACACCACACCACAGCAGGCTGATGCATGAAGGAGGCTCTGACTGCATGGGAAGCCTGTGATGGAGCAGGCTCCTGGCAGGACCACTGGACCCATGAAGAGAGGAGCTTGTAGTGGACCAGGTTTGCTGGCAGGACTTGTGACTCATGGGTGACCCACACTGGGACAGGCTGCTCCTGTGGGACTGCATCTCACAGAAGGGAAGTCTGCACTGGAGCAGTTCATGAAGAACTACAGCTCATGGGAAGGATTCATGTTGGAAAAGTCCATGGAGGACTGCCTCCCGTGGGAGGGACTCCACACTTGGAGCAGGGAAAGAGTGTGAGGAACCCAACCCCGGAGGGAGAAGGAGCAGCAGAGACAACATGTAATGAACTGACCATAGTCCTCATTCCCCATCCCCATGTGCCATGTGGGGGAGGAGTCAGAGAAAACAGGGAGTAAAGTTGAACCCAGGAAGAAGTGAGGGATGGAGGCATGTGTTCGAAATTTGTGTTTATTGCTTGTTACTCTATTTTGATTTGATTGGTTATAAATTTGATTAATTTCCTTAAGTTCAGCCTATTTCACCATTGATGGTACCTGGTGAGAGATCTCTCCCTGATCCAGACCCATGAGCCTTTCCTTACATTTTCTTTCCCCTGTCCAGCTTAGGAGGAGAGCAATAGAGTGTTTGTGGTGGTGCTTGGAGTCCAGCCAGAGTCAGCTTACCACATCATATAATTTCTTCCTCTAGCAATTTTCAGAATGTTTGGTTTTGATTCCAATATATTCCCACTAACTCCTTATCAGTTACCTTGCATTCCTCAGATTCTGATTCTTCCATCTTTTGAACACCTTTTTCCAACAAAGGCAATATACTGGCACTGTAGATATTCCACCAGAGGGCAAGAAACGACAGTTGGTGAAAAGATCCAGAGGTGGTGCCATCCTGCATAACTCTCTTTGTTTGAAGGTTGTATTTGTAGTTCCAGGGCTTTGTTGCTCCCATGAAGTGAACAACTTTGGCATCTCTACCAAAACTGTAGAGATCAAACATACAGGTCTTTTTTATTTTTTTAGCTTACATAAACTCCTAGAAGGAACATGATTACTCACAGGTGAGGCAATTTAATATTTTGCAACAGCTATGCATTTGAGATGATACATATTTTTTTTCTTTTTTTCTGTCTTCCTGGTTTAATTAATCTTGTTTAACATACAGAAGACAAAAAGCTGCATTGCCATTTACTTCCAGCTGCTGATTCTAGTAGAAAAGTTCATGAAGGCTTATGCAGTACTATTTGCAGTCCTCCTTCATTCTCTATTCACTAACAAATACATATCACTTCAAATACTTAATCACCAAAATTGGGTATTACTGATTACATATTAAAATTACTAATAAATACATTGGCCTAAGTTCATCTTCCAATGAGAGTGTTTTGTGCAACTGGAACAGAAATTCATGACACCCTAAATCCTACTTGCCCTTTGCCTGAAAAGTTTCTCAACTGCATTGTCTGGAATCATATAATTAGTAGGACAAATTTCATGTCATAGAAGAACCTAGGGAATGGATCAAAAAAATTTAAGCAACGCCAACTGCTTCTCTAAGAAATTACTTGAGAACAAAGGAATGAGTTTAAAGGTAAACCTGTCAGAACCTAATGCCAAAGTAATTACATTTTGTCAAAAATGAAAGAAGCTTCTTGGAAAGAACATAAAAGACAGTGTAGCCAGCTCTGAGACTCTCCCTGTGTCCCATTCACATTAAATTTAAGCTTCTATTGCATGGTTTCTACATAAGATCATTTGTGATACTGTAATTTATAGTCAACAAAATATGCCATTATTATTCTCTTACAAAAAGGATGTTTGTTAACAAATTACAGAGGTTTACAGAAGTGTGGTTACTTACTGAGTGAAAGCAGGAACATAGGTGTATACAGAGCTGCTGCTTAAGTTATAGAGGAAAGGCAAGTGTTTGCCAATATCTGCTGTTGCCCAGTTGCTGAAGAAGCTGTTCAACAAGCCTTGATCACCTCCTGAAGAATACATAAGAGAGGATTACCAAAACATGTGTACTCTCAAATTTGTATAAAAATTTCACATCCAAGGATGGGAGTGAGATTGAGGATCAAGACTGGTGTGTTCATGGGACTCCAAATTTGACTTGAAAATATGTCCATATGAGCATGTACAAGTGAATAATACCTGATTCACTCTGGTGCAAGTTCAGTGCAAATGAAGTCCTACTGTAATATAAGGAGAAAGGAATAGTGTTTGGTCTCCCTCAGAGCAGAAGACTGAAGATCAGCTGTATTTCTCTCTCCTAAGCCAGACAGCAAAATTAAAACTTATGGAGCAAGACTCAGACACAATGTCCCTTCACTGCCCTTTTCTGGGAAGCACAGTCCAGAGTAAGTCAACAGGTCTTAAATACAGTCTAAGAGACAAAGTTCTGCACCTTGAATTCTTACATAAAGCCCAGAGAACCCCTGCCTTCCTCTGTTCTGCCTGATAGCACGGAAACTGTCTTGCACTTCATCCCTTTCACCCTTCTCCTTACCATCAAAGCTGCCATGTTCAGCAGCAAACTGGAGCAGCAGGTTGTAAGTCTTCAAGGAGGGCTGGAACACAAATACACCGCTATTGAAACAGTCAGGCCAGCCAGAATCAGGAGCTGCAGAAAACTCTTCCCAATCAAACAACTCATCAATGTTGCAAAGTACCTTATGGAGAGTAGGAAAAGAGAAAAAAACTCTGAAATGTTTGTCTAGAACAAGCATTGTCAGATTACCAATGGAGTAAATTGATAGTTTGACCGAGTGTATGACTTTCAGAGCATAAAAGCAGTGCCACTGTAAAATATGTTAGGGGTCAGAACCTCTGTTTTTAATATAATAAGGCAACATTAATTGTGATTCTCCATGATTTTTTTGATAAAATGCAGAGCCTGTGAAATTATTTCATGAACCTTGGAGACCATCCAAGGTCCCTTTAAATACTATACCATGAAAACACACAATTTCCTTCTTTCTTAACTCACCTGTCCATAGTCCATTATTTTTGATAACTATAAGAGAACTGAATGAAAATTTGGAATCTAAATCATTTTAGTAAGTAACAGACTGATTAAAGGGTAGTAGAAAAACTGTCTCTTGCTGTCAATTTTCTAACTAACTTTTTTTCTTTCAAGCTTCACAAGGAAGTGGGAAAATCAATCAGGTTAAGGTACAGAGAAAGTTTGTAGAAAGACAGCTGTGCAGTCACTACAAGTCAGGACCCCACCTACAACTGAGCCACTATGAAAACCAGAAGAAAATTTTTTAGACATAAAACTATTTAATTGAATTTTTGAAAAAGACAAAAATTTGCCTTCCTCCTTTAGCATTAATGTAAAGGAAGAAATAAAACTTCCTCCTTAAGAAGAATAACTTAATTTGGTTTCTAATTCAAATACAATCCTATTAAATTAAGATGCACCCCAGTCTTTCAAAGTGAGTCATGAAAGCTCAAGAGAAGGCTGACATGATTGTCCTAGCCAAAATTATGACCATTTTTATCTCTCTACGTCTAAAAACTTTTAAAAAAAGTATTGTCTGGGATTTTTTTTTTCTCTTTTAAAACCATCCTGCCTTCCTGACCAGAATAATTCCATATAAAAGCATGTGAGAGAGATCTATTTTAAACTTCTGTCAGAAGACCCAGTGCATAGACTGAATCTGTGATCTCTTTTGGAGGCAGTCCTGAGGCTACTTTCCAAACTGAATTTATTTTTATGCAGCCAGCACAACTGTTAGAATTGCTGAAACGTGCCAGGATGGAGGTCCTGTGACCTTGTGACCACCAGTAAATTGGGTGACTTCACAGGCCACTAGGCTGCCTGACAAGGAAGCATCCCACAATCAGAAACAAATGTTTCCATGGCTCCCACTCCACTCACCAAAGTGTCTGCATCCATGAAGACACATTTGCTGTAATGAGTAAGAGTCCAACAACGAAGCTTAGTGAAGGTTACACCCAGTTCTGGCCTCTGCATCAGAGCCAGATGGACTGAGTCAGCGCTGTCAAGCACATCCACCTCAATCACTTCATCAAATACACTGCTGAGGACTGACCTACCAGAGCAAGCAGTGGAGAGAAAGAGGGGAATTTAGACAAGTTCATCAGAGATTGCTTCAGGCCTGAAAACAGTGACACACATCATGACATTAATTATGACAACAGCCAAAAACTAGATTGATTGTTTAGAGTAAGAAGTCAGAAGCAAAAAGTCTTTGCAAGCAGCCTACTGAAGAGGCAGCTATCACTTAGGCCATAAAACATTGTTTCTTCTGCTATGGGGGCCAGCACATCTCAAAAGTGACAGCTGCTGTTTGAAGGAAAAAACAATTCTTATTTTAGTCTCTCCTATAGAAACACCTACAGAAATTAAAGCAGCTTTCATCCTGCACAACTGATTCCAAAGAACAGCACCATACTGTGCTCCCTCTGCATTTTACAGGATGAGTGTAGTAGTTTAGATTCGCTAATTTGAGTTTCTTGGCTAATGCACTAAATAATGTGGTGGGTTTTAGCACTGGTTAAAATCACCAGGGCACTTGCTTATTTTTTGCTGTGAGGTATGGATTAAGGAAAGGGCAAACACACTTAAAATTTAAAAGGTATAAATAAACTATATTAAAAGGATTACAAGAATAAGAAACATCAGAATAAAACTTTTAGAATACTTTTCCTCCCCCTGCTTAGACATGCACTGCCAGCACACTCATTTGTTTTTATTGTGCCCAAGTAAACACTGCTTCAAAACTGCACGTTCTATAAGGTGCACATATACTTTCTCACCATATATAGTTCCTCACTACTATGTAGCATCTCAAATGAGACATTAAGCTAAACATTTTTTTCTTATGCATGTATTTTATGGGAATTCTATAGGTAACACCAAAGTAGGCAATTTTCCTTCAAGAAGCAAGAAAAAAAAACCTTTAAAACACAGCTTATTTACTTACACTACGTATTATAATCAAAGTCCTCAATGTCTCACAAACACAGACAAAGAAAACCTGTGCTGTTTGAAATCTGGATTTCAGGATCATTAGCTTTTGCCCGATTGATCTTCAAGGAACAGGAATTAACTGGCAAAGAACTAAGTGAAGTACAGACTATTAGAAGTTTATCTCAGTGATCTACATTTTTTTTTAAATGTTATCCTTGATTTAAAATACATAATTTAAATCCTTTTATTCCCACTGAATGGACATGAAAAGAATTACAGACTTATTATCAACCCATGCATCAGATGGATACAGTATTCCCTTCAGGAAGGTTACAGTGTTCTGACAATGCCCATATTTCAAAATTCTTTAAAAACAGATTGTTGTGCATTCAGTCATAGCAAAAATGTGAAAATATATTTATTGAGCCAGATCCATTGCAAATAAATTCACATAGCATGCAGAAAACAGGAGCTTGCACACTTCCTAAGACACAGCAGAAGTAAAAGTTTAAGTTGCTATGGCATGGCATGTGCCTTTTAACAAGTGTCATAGTCCTCCAGATAACAGGGCTTGAGTGCAGACTTAATAACATTTCTGTAAAAGCTATTCTGCAGTGCTTGTAAAATCACAGCACAAACTGCAAAGTGATTTATACAAAAAAGCAAAGAGAAAACAATTTCTTATCATGATAGCTGTGCACCAATATTTTAAGAACGTGAGTCACGTGAAACAGAGGTTTATGTAGAGATCTGACATCACAGGTGGTTATGTATTTTGCTCTAAGAGAGAAAAAGGTGGGGAAAAAACAACAGTAGTGCAAGACACTAAAACCTTAGTTCCAAATTTTCAGGTTAAGTTCTCTATCATAAGAAAAATTCCAGCCACAAGCTCTACTTCTGCAAGCTAATTCTTAGTAGGCTTAGGAGCTTATAACGGATGTTATTTGAAATCACTAGCCAAGAGAGATGTTCTAGTCATAATGCTGTGAAATTCACAGAAACCTATTAAAATCTTTCATGCTATTGCTTATTTTTACACTGAAGAATTTCCATTTAAACCTCCAGATACACATTAATACTTACCTCATCCCAATGGAAACCTCTGGAGTAATTAGAACTGCCAATTTTCTGGATGTCTTATGGTTCCTCAATGACTGTCCGAGAACAAGAGCACCTTGACAGTACACATCATTAGTTGCAAGGGTCACAAAGGCTTGATCTGTTACTGCAAAAAAATATTCAGAAGAGTCACTTCACAGCTTTAACATAAACTCTTTTAGCAGGCTCCCTCCTCTTCCAGATAAACAACAATCTGTGGCTTATAACAACCTGCAGTTCCTGTGATGAGTTCTTTTCTCTCACAGACTCCCCTCAGAAGCCACAATTGAATAGAAAATCCAGTGAATGTGAGCACAGAATGTGTGTTTCTGATTTTTATTATTTTTATTTGCCTGATTTACACAACGGCAGGTATAAAGTTTTTGCACTAGCCTTAAACAGATAATTTTTTTTTCAGGTCTTATTGCCTAAACACGATGTCAATCAAAAAAGCTGATCTGTACATATTTAAATTTTATATTTAATGAACATAGTATAATACAGCCAATAAGGAAAATGTTCTTGTTTATACAGTGCAGAAAGCTAAGGAACAAGATGTTGAGTATTAGTCAGAAATATTCTTTCCATAACACCACTGAATCAACCCAACATTATTTTTGCTCTGCCTTCTTTGTACTGGTGTACCTGGTGCTGGCTGAACAAGTGCAGAGAAATCCCTATCAAGATCAGTACATCACCCAGAAGCAGAGAATTCCTACCTCAAGCAATTCCAGGGAATTTAGGAGTGTTCCTTATTGTCAGGAAACACATGAGAAAACAAGTTACAATAGAAAACAAAGCAACCTACATTCCTGCACAACAGGAGAAAATGTATTTTGTAGAGAATCCAGGCCAGTGGTATGGTCACAAGGGGCTGCTTCTTCAGCTCTGCCCTGTGACAGGACCACCACTATCAGAGCTCCCCTGGGGAGAACCTGAAACTCATCAAGGTGAACAGCCCCCCTCAGAGCAGAAGGGTGATACACTCTAGTCTGCAAAATTAACCAGAACAAGACGAGCAGGTCACACAGATGAAGGGAATTCCACTGACCTCTACAGAACTTCAATAAACACTTGTGTTGAAATACTTCTTCAGAGCAACCATCATCTTAATGGACAGGCAATTGCATTAAATAAATTAAAACAACCAAACAATACCAACATAAACAACCTGTCATACAGTTTCCAGGGTCTGTGAGAAACACTAGGAAAGAATCTCACAGAACTAGTTGCAGAGAACTCAACAAATGACTTCATGGCTGCCTCAGCCAGAGGCTGCCAAAATGAATGAGTTCTAATCCTCAACCGTACCGTAAAGTATGGTTGATGCCCATGATAAGCTAACAGATATTAAGTATTTTTATCTTTCACATCCTCCAAATCCAGACCAAAACACAGACTCACCAGTGTGCTGCCTTTTCCCCTCTACTTTTTGCCCTCTTTCACTCATGTTCAGCCAGCCAGCTTCATCTCAAGAGCATATACCTTACATTTGCTGACATTGCCACACATCCCTGCACCTAAGAAGAATCCCAGTAAGTGTCAAACTTGGCCAAAAAAACCCCAAATCATCCACCCAAACTTAAAATAGTTTGCATTGCCCACAGCTGAGCAAACTCCAGTAACATTTCCAGACAAAGCAAATGAAGAATTGAACTTTCAAATCTCCCATTATAATAACAGCTCAAGCAAGTTTCGGGTGTTCCAAAAATCAGTGAATAAGGAGTTGCATTAAAACAACAGACGTGAAGTAAACTGCTGCTACCGCAGTTTTCCAGAAGGTTAAAGGAATGAATATAAGCATCCCTAAAAATCAATGTAAACCAGAAAACCACTGAAGGCTACTTCAGCAATAAAATTACTCTGAAAAGACACAAAAAGTCAGGAAAGCAAAGCAGTTTTATGTTAAGCAACAAATATCTTCAGCCAAAGAAAGGTAATAAAAGAACTACTGAGAGGAATATCGGAGTTCAGTTAATATAAAAAACAAATTGTGAAAAGAGTGGGAGTTCCTATCTTAAAATACTGAACACAATATTCACATGACTTCTGCAAATTCTTTTGGCTACAGAAGCTGAATCTTTACTTAAGTAATACATAGAAAAGTACACAAACTACTCATTAAATGCTTCAGCAAGCTGGTATGGAAAATTACCACATCCTCCAAATGCTTTCGTGCCCTGCACCCCTGTGGTCATAACCACAAGGAAGCAAACTGGTAAAAAGCTGCTGCTTCTAAGAAACTCTTGCTGATACCTCACAAAGAACAGAAACTGTCTGTTTTGAGAATCAGATGTGGGATACATCTTACGGCTTTCTTAATACAGTGAATCATCATAGAGATAATTAAATAGATAACCAAGTATTGACTAAAAATATTTAATGTTAAAATATTTCTGGCACAAAAAGAGAAGCAAATCCTTGTGATTTTAAAATCAAACAGGGGCATCACTAATTTATTAAGGATCCATAGAGAGTTTAAAACAAAAACATTTTATCATTACTTTTTCTTTCATCTAATCCTTGCTTTCAAGAAAGGAGTGTTATTTGACTTGTCTTGTTTATAAATTTTTTTGAAATATAGCCTATAAGTAAAAATTTTATTTTTATAGCTGAAAGTAAGGATCAGGTTTTTATATACATTTTTGGAAGTAAATGGTTTACCTGAAAGTTTCCATTTAGCTGAAATCAAGGACAGCACATTAAATCTACTCTACACAGAATTTCACTTATTGACTTTAAAAGAGCAAATCATCTTTAAGTTTGAAAGCCAGAGGTGTAGATATTTAAATTCATTGCAACTGGGTATTTTTTTTTGTTTGGTTGGGTTTTTTTGGGTTTTTTTATGTGTCAAGGAGACAATTAAGCATAACTGTAATTCTTGAATGACTGAATGACAATATATATATTTTTATGGACAACACCTATTGTTAGGGGAATTAAGTTTTCAAGCAAATTGTTTTCAAGTTGTGGACACTTATGGCTAATACAATACCACTGGCTATCAGTGAACTATGAGAAAAGAAAGTGTATGATTAGAATCCTGTCATAGGAGTTTATAAATCTGCTCATTTCTCTTGTCTGGATTACCACAAATCACATGATAATGCAAGTAAAGAAACCATTAACACCAGTAGTGGCTCCTCAGTTTTATTACCTAACAATATTTTCTTAGAACAAAACAATGATCTTCAAGGAATTAACTTGTTGAGTTATTCTAGAACCTGCTCTGCAGCTACACAGAAAAGGCAGCAAAAGTAATGCGAATCACCACAGTCAGGGTGATCTTATGTGGAACTTGTTACAGCTTTTTTAGACAAGATCATCAACTTTTTATGCTACTTACTCATGGAAGTAGTACTTCTGACACTGCCAGAAGCAAAATTCTTCGACAGGCGTGAAAACTAATTCTAGGGCACCTAAAAGCTTTATTTAGAATATGAAAAGAGCAAACAGACAGGGTGGTGCTCACTTTCATGTTCAAAGAGAAAAAAAGAATTAAAAAACACCAGATACCCATTTTTAGAATCAGGAGTGACTGACAATAACAAGCTCTGAGTGACCCAAGTGCACCTTCCAACTTCAAGACAAGTTTAAGTAGGTTAGGGAGGGTTTTTTTCATAATCCATTAGATATAGCTTTTAAATCATATTTTTATATTTCTTCTGATAGACAGGGGAAGGATAAATGTAATGCAGCTGTAGCTCCTAATGTAACAATTCAAATTTGCCAGGCTGCCTACTGCAAAATGGCAACGTATCAGACACTCCTGTTATGATTTTTCTGTAAGAACATCCTAAGCAGCACATTGTGTCATCTTATGCATAAAAATAAGAACAGATAAATCAATAGCTAAAAGCCTCCAACAGTCTGGTTAAATCCCCAGTGCCTACTGCCATTCATACTAATCAACATTATACAACTGCTTTCTTAAATTCCTCCCTGATACTATCTGTTACTCTTTTGTCACTTCCCTGCTTCTACTCCAGAGACAATCTGCAGGACGAGCAGGCTGCAGCCTGGACAGCACTGAGCCAAAGCACCTATCTGAAATCCCAAGTGACAGTGACACAGCTCCAAATCACAGCACGTTTCCTGACAACAATTCCGTTACTCCATCTGCCACACGAAGGGCTCTATGGATCTTCCCCCAGCAGCACCCCATGAAGGTGTGTTAGACTCCCAAAAAGAGAACACAACCTGTAGGCTTCTCACTTCTCTGGTCTAGCACAGCCATATCCTGGAACAGAAAGCTCTGCTCCTCCTGGCACCCACAACTTCATAAGCACTCAAGAAGTATTTTGTTGTAAGTATATAAAATGAACAATAGTATCAGACAATAACCTGAGTCAGATTCCTATCAAAAATTATTATGCAAGTTTCCAGCTAAGAGGCAGTTCTTGCCTAAGTAAACAAATACAGCTGGCAGTTTTAATTCCTGTGCTTTCTTAGGTCCAATAGTAGAAACATTAACATTACTAATGAAATTAAACAACACTTTACACAGACCTTTTTATAAGAGAATTTAAATTGACAATGAATGGGATACAGTATTTCTCTTGGCCTAATGAAGTTCTGCCTCATCCAAAACCAGATTCTTTCTCATCTTTTATTAAAATTATACTGAATTTTAGTAGGCAAGATTACGGCTGTTGTGTTGGAAGAGCACTTGACTCTAGCTCTTTGTAGCTTTTATTATGTGCCTTTCAGTTAAAAACTGTTACATTCTGCTTCAAGATTCTACAATGTTATTCAACAGTTGGTAAATGATCCTCATGAAAACTCAAATGCAACAATATCTTAAGATGCAAACAAGCATAGTGCCCAAAACTAGTCCCAAAACAGTAATATTCTGGTTTGAAAATTAGTAATAATTGGTAATAATTATTAGAAATAATTGCTTAGGCAATCCAGAGGCAGCACAGGGAACTTTATGATATGTATCAAGTCAGATGTTTCTATTCTTTCCACACCTTCCTTTCAATCAAAAGAAAAAACACAACAAAAATCAAACAAAAAACCCAAACTTAAAAACCCCATTCAACCAAACAAAACCACAGTGCTCTAATGCTTTTTTTTTGCAGATTCATTTTCTGCATCTTCCCAGTGCTGAAGTGCCACGTACATGAATTCAAACTTGGCAATCACCAGTCCAGATGACTGACACCCTTCAAATGGTTCAATAAACCAAGATTTGTGGGAGGTGGTCCTCTCAAAACCGAGAAGAAAGGAAAAAAGTTGAGTATGTTCAAGAACCAGAACAGCACCTGCACCTACCCCGTGTGATTACCCCAAAACCAAGTAACTCATGGCTTTAAGGATGTGATTAAGACCAATACCACTGCTGTGTAAGGAGGGGCAGGAGAAAAGTTTCTCTGAATCTGCTTTAGGCTGAGGTAGCCAGCCCCAGCCTGTCACCCTGGGGAGCCAGCAGGAAACCATGCAGAGACCTGAGCAGGCCAAGCTGGACATACAAGCAGAGTACGTCAATGAGTTCACCTATTTCACCCCATCGCCCAGACAGTTAAAATCCTCCTCTGGAGCTGCTCGTGACAGCACAGCTTTCTGCTGATCAGAAAACAGCAGAGGCCCTCCGGCACGTACGAAGGGCATGTAAGAAGGGCACCAGCATGTAAGAAGGGCAAGAGCCCGGTGGGGGCTGCAGGCCGCGCTGCCCATCGCCGCGGTCAGCCCCGAGAGGCTGCTGCAGGCCGGCCGGGCGCGGTGCTGGCTGCTGGGGGTACTCACCGGACATACTGTGCCGCCGGGGCCCGGCCGGGCAGGGCTCGCCGCCTCACCTGCGGGCGGGGGGGCGCTGACCGAGCGATGGGATTAGCCTCCTTCCTGCTGGAGCGGCAGGTGAGCTACATCCGCAGGGACTCCTGCGCAGCAGCAGCAGCAAAGGCATTAGCGGCGGAGACCATGGCGGGGGGGGGGGGGGGGGGGACGCCCCCCCC